CCTTACATTAGGTCATCCCCTGTGGTAGAATAAAGTTCCTTACATTAGGTCATCCCCTGTGATAGAATAAAATTCCTTACATTAGGTCATCCCCTGTGGTAGACTAAAATTCCTTACATTTGGTCATCCCCTGTGGTAGAACAAAGTCCCTTACATTAGGTCATCCCCTGTGGTAGAATAAAGTTACTTACATTAGGTCATACCCTGTGGTAGACTAAAATTCCTTACATTTGCTCATCCCCTGTGGTAGAACAAAGTCCCTTACATTAGGTCACCCCCTGTGGTAGAATATAGTCCCTTACATTAGGTCATCCCCTGTGGTAGACTAAAATTCCTTACATTTGGTCATCCCCTGTGGTAGAATAAAGTCCCTTACATTAGGTCATCCCCTGTGGTAGAATAAAGTTCCTTACATTAGGTCATCCCCTGTGGTAGAATATCACATCACGGCTATTCCTGTAGTAGATCCTATCCTTAAATCAAAAACACCCTATGGTTCCCCTTACTAGGACTTGAATTCCTACATCAATTAATACCCTTTGGCAGATTCTTACATCAAGACACCCCATGTGACCATTGCCTCTTTACATCAGGACATTCTCTATATAATCTTAAAGCAAGGCATTCTCTATGGGTCACACCATTTGATAAACAACAAGTACAATGTTCAGCTTCTTTGCGAGTTAACTTTAGATCTAGTGAGTACGTGAACTGCTTGAATCTTGTTGATAACTAAAGTAAGCCTTGATATATAATAACCTAGTACCCTGTCATCCGTGACATTGGCCTACTACGTTTTGCGAATAAAGGACCACTATTTACGGCGTTTGATGAGGAAAATGCTGTGGAACAATGATTGGTAAAGCATAGAAGCATAGTAGCTTACAACTAAATAGTAACTATTTCGCTAATTGTAAGGAAGACAAGTAACAATAGTCACGTCGAAATACTGTAAGGTAATGAAATAATGCCCTCTTGATGAGTAGGTGCCGAGTATGGAGTTTGGTTTTGTACTGTTTAATGTCCTATCAACAGCTAAGGTCATTTAAGGACGGCCTCCCCTCCCTGTGAGTAAGATGTATGCTTTAAGGGTATGCGTGTGTGTTTTGGAAGGCTGAGATATGTTCTTGTTTGTCTCCTTGTGATAGCGCGGAACTGATGCCGACTTTATAGTGCTACCTCACTGAAACGTACTGCCGAAGAAACCCAGCAGGACACCCCACCTGGTCACATAATACTGACAACGGACGAACCAGTTGTCCCACACCTAAACTTCTGAGCGTTAAGCAGGAGTAGAAACTACCATTTTTAAAGACTCTGGTATGTCTCGGTCAGGGGACAGAACCCAAAGCTTCCCTCACAGGGGCGAACGCTCAACTAATGACCAAAAGTGAGGCATTGTCAAAGGAGACATTAGGAAAGAGGAAAGTTGTTTAGAAAGAAGAGAAAACAGAAGATCCCAAATTTAGTCGCCTCTATTCGAGGCAGCAGGTACACTTATTACGCCCTACCTGCAGGGACCCGAATATGGAGAATGATCGACTTCCCGTATACCAAGGGATGTCACAGTTGGAATAATAGTGGAATGGGAAAAACTCGTGTAAGACGAATGCTCCATTTGTTTGATTTAGTTTAATCGGGTTTAGCGTCTTATTAACAGCTAAAGTCGATTAAGGACGTGCCGCCATGTGTATACATGAAATTAATGCGCATGTCTGCCGGAGGCAACATGTTGGTGAAACTGCCTTCTCGTCATTGCACGGATCTGATGCCGACATTTTCTACATAACTGAAATACCAACTATCGAAGGAATCAAGCACAGTATTCTTGCTGGTCACATAATACTGACAACGGGTTACCAAGTTGTTGTAGTTACCCTAACTGCTGAACATTAAGCAGGGAATAACTACTAACATTTTAGGACTTGTGTACAGTATATACCGTCCTGGGGGCAGAACCCATTGCTTTCCTATCCTGTGCGACAGTTCAACACGAAGAACAAAAGTAAGGTTTTGCCAAGCAAGGCTCTAGGAAACAGTTGTTAGAAACAGAGAAAATGGTTTTCATAAATGTTGCAATGGGTGCAGCAGATTCATTTATGTCACTTTTGTGTCCCCAAGTTAAGAAATGATAGAGAGACTGTATCATTATATGGGGTCCCCTCATTAGTTAACAGCAGGTATGTTGCTTTCGCAATCTCCTAAGTAGAGGGGTAGTAAATGATTGATTTCCTCCATAACATGGAATGTCTGGGAGTGCGGTTACGATCGACTTCCTGTAAACAATCTTCCAGGGGATGTCTCGGAGTGCGGTTATGACCGACTTCCTGTATACAATCCACCAGGGGATATCTGGGAGTGCGGTTATGACCTACTTCCTGTATACAATCTACACGGGGATGTCCCGGAGTGGGGTTATGACCGACTTCCTGTATACAATCTACCAGGGGATGTCTCGGAGTGGGGTTATGACCGACTTCCTGTATACAATCTACCAGGCGTTGTCTCGGATTGGGGTTATGACCGACTCCTGTATACAATCTACCAGGGGATGGCTCGGAGTTGGGTTATGACCGACGTCCTGTATACAATCTACCAGGGGATGGCTCGGAGTGGGGATATGACCGCCTTCCTGTATACAATCTACCAGGGGTTGTCTCGGATTGGGGTTATGACCGACTCCTGTATACAATCTACCAGGGGATGTCTCGGAGTGGGGTTATGACCGACTTCCTGTATACAATCTACCAGGCGTTGTCTCGGAGTGGGGTTATGACCAACTTCCTGTATACAATCTACCAGGGGATGTCTCAGAGTGGGAATACCACCAGGGAAAATTCGTCAATGGTTCTTAACATACAATATCTGATTGTATTGTCTTTAAATCTACACCTGTGTATGACGCATTCGCTGAATGTTTTGTTATTGCGGTTCAATAACTGCAATTACTCAATTAGACGATGGAATTATTGGTCAAAGTACTTGGTAACAAACATAACCTGCTTTTAACATCGATATAATACAGGTATATGATGTAAGCATATACTAATGCTGACTATAATCCCATCTTAATATTTCTGTATGAAGGTGGTGAAATTGTTCTCCAGGATTTGTCGGCAGGTATGGATCAACCAAGCAAATGTAGAATCACACAAAATATTGTGTACATGAAATCAACGTTGTCACATCTTGATCCCATCATAGATAGATTGATAGAGGGTGGTATCTTTAGCCTGGCTGACAGAAACAGGATCGAGGCTGTATCAGCATCACATAAACAATTCAATACTTTTGTTGACATACTGACAGCATCTCCTGAACCAACCGCATACAAAATATTCAGAAAAGCACTGAAATTAGAGGGATATGCTGCTGTCGCCGATAGGCTAGATCAAACGACACCACAACCACGTAAGTTTTTCAATTGCTGTACTGCTCTGTCGGGGCGGCAAGTTTCACACGTGCTGAAGTGTATTTTGTGTGTACGAAATAGAGTTCGTTTTGTATTTCGAAGTATTTCCTGCTTGTTTTTTTAATATTTGTTTTCAATGCATCTTACTTAAGGAAAAAGAAGTAAACCCGAAAGCAATGATTGCAATTAGGATAGTCTTCTATAATATTCTTCTTCAAATTACACAAATAACTGTCGAGTGTTGACACGGGTTTACTTCTTTTTCCTTTTAACGAGTGTCAACACTCGACTGTTATCTGTGTAATTTGAAGAAGAATATTATAGAAGACTATCCTAATTGCAATCATTGCTTTGCTCTTCCACTCTTGCCGATTTGTTTACATTTTTTTCTTTTTGGTCAGTATTGGTAAAAAAACTTTAAAACAACTAAATTTGCGTTAAACGCCATATTCTTTCTTATATTCAAACTTTCCAAAGGTAATTAGGGCAAACATTTTTCTCAGTTATTTACATATACGAAAAGTACCCGTTAACGATCGGAACTACCTCTCTTTTGTTTTCACAACCAAGGAATTAATTTCATCTAAATGAAATGAAAGTGGCGTAATGGCGTAAAGATACCTTGAATGCTAATCGTATATTACTATAATTCTATGATTTAATGTTATAGTATACAAGGGTATATTCCTTCCATCTATAATAAGTCATATTTGTTTGACACTACGTAATATCAACATTTTTCAATCATATATATCTTGTTAGATTCTATTGCATATTTGATACTTTTTATCATATACTTTGTTACATCTAGTCGTTTGCTCTATTGCATTGAAGATTACGGAATCAGCGGCACTTGATATTCTAATCTGAGTCCACAAGGTATCCTATGTGTAAAATATAAAATAAAATAGGAAAATCATATATGACCCTTCCTTTTTTGTTAATCTGTTCTTTGTTTTACTGAAATTATTTAAATAATTGAAGTAATATTGATAACAAGAGAAGAGATATATTTCAGTAGGCCGTATTCACTTGACAACAAGGAAAGAAAAGCTCTAATTTTAAACTTCCATTTGTGGCTACTCAATATGCTAACGACCTGCCTAGGTCAATAACAATACCACTCCTACATATGCATACAATCTGACCTTACCATATTTTATGAAACAGCAATCTGACGCAATGTCTAAATATAGGGAAGGTTTTAACAAATTATCGCATTTAAAGAAGACAATTTTGATTGAACCTATTGTTATGAATTAGTCTTTGTTTCTTTTTTAGAGCTGTGTTTTGGTGTAGCGTATACAGTTCTAACAAGGGCTAAGTAATAACCTGAATTTCCATGATCATCATTATCTATTTCTGTCAATTATGTCAGTTATGGTTTTGTTGCTCAGATATGTATACATTATATACACTTCTATTTGATTGTTCACAAACAATTGTGCATTCAAACATTGTGTTGTTCCGATTGGCTTTTATTTTTGATTGAAATTTCCCTGGTGTGGTTATATGTTCCATCTTTTGAAGAAAAACATGAGAATACCGTAGTATCCACAAAACCAGAATTCGAACTCAAAACTAGATAAACATAGGAAAAAAATATGGAGTCCCTTGTAAAAATACAAGAAGACCAATTGTATATAAAATAACCTCATTCAGCGTGAAAACAAAGCAGGTGTTGGCATTTGAATTCGTGTTTGTAGTTTGTAACTCTTACTCTTTGAATTTAAACATAGACACTTGCCTGATCTTTAGATATATAGATGATGATATGTCATTAAATGGAAAAAAATATACCAAATTGCACGACATTTATCTCACAAGTTTTCTTATCAAAGACATAAGTCTTTTCTTCGAAACTATGACGATATAAATAATCGTGTCCCTACTATCACACATTACAACTTACATTTCACAGAGGTTAACTTCCGTTTTCTCAGAAGCAGCTTTCAAGCTTATTTCAAGCTTACACTACTCATGAAGGTTTTAGGTCATAGTTTAGGACTCATTATTATAGATCCTGTTCTAAAGTATAAGAGTATCATGAGTTGTTTGGTTTGGTTTGGTTTAGTATTGTTTAACATCAACAGATATGGTCATTTAAGGACGGCCTCCCCTGTGTGCAAGATGCATGCGTGTAGTTTATGAGTGTGTGTTTTGGTAGGCTGCGACAACCTGCCTTATTGACGTCGTGTTCTTTTAGACCACATCTCATTATAGACGTCATGTTAACCAATAAATTCGGCCATGGCTAAAGTGTTTTTGATGTAATGTTACTTGATGATGCTGTGAAGCCTTGCCGTCAATTCTCAAAAAGTTGTATCGAGTCGGTTTTCAAATGTTGTCATGATTCCCATGTTTGGTGCTTGAACTAAGATCTGAATTAGATAACTCCAGTTACCAACAATCTGTAGAATAAATGAGTATTTCCTAACATCAGGCTTAGTGAATACCCTCGATTCCGTATAATGTATTTTATCGACAAATATCCTTGCGATTGCTGTTGAATCACATCATTAAGATCGTGAACATGTTTATCTTGTCTACAATTTACAATCAAATATTTCTCCATAAACTGGACAAAAATACGTACAACCATGTTTAAGGCATGTAGCAAAAAACTAAGAGATAAAATAAAGGAAAAAAACAGTATGAACCTGGACGGGAGAATATTTTTAACATTTTTGCGTCCCTCATTTGTTAATGAACTGTTTTATGTTGTTTCCCCCAGCTGCAGTGCGAAGTGCGTCCAGTCGACAATCCAGGACACGTGACAGCATTGTCAACAATGAAGTAAGAAACATACATCACAGTTATAATAAGAAATTGTAAATTATTAAGCATAATGCCTTCTTTCGTAAGGGAAACAAAACATAGATTAAGCATTGGTTAACAAAGCGAATTATTGCAAGGCAGTCCATAGTAATGATTTCTATATTTAACCAACAGTACACTTATGTCAGGATGTACCTACTGTAAGGAAAGTATCCTGATACATACTTCTTACACTCCGCCATCCCAAGATGTCCTTGTACACCAAATCTGGTTACTACAGGTGAAATAAAATAGAAGATATTCCCCGAACAATTTATTTGCAAACATTAAGGTCAAAGGCCATTATCATTTAATAGCAGCAAGCGTCAAGCATGATGTCATTAGAAACTGGAGACATGAATTACGCTACAAATTCCTGCGCTCTTCTGATGTAGCAATCTTTGCTTCGCTCGACGAATAAAAAATGTAATAAATAGGAAGTTTAATGGTTTTCCCGTTAAATATGATATATATATTTCCCTCGTATAAAACGAATATGTGACAACAACCAAAAATATAGCGTTGTGGCAAAATGTGTCTTCGAGCAGACTCGAGAGGTAATAACAACTTTGACAAGTATCTTTAACCAGATCCAAAGGTACATTGTCAAAAAAACATATTTGAAAAATTTGCGGCAGGTACAAATGATATTTTATGTAAATCATGTACTGTCTCTTCTCTCTCTCAGAAGATGACATTATTACCAAATCGATGATATTTTCACGTGCCGTTAAAAATGTACATTCGCGTGCTTTGGGACAATTATTGAGTGATAATAGTGCAACATGTAAGGATACTGAGCGTGAACGGAATATTCTGAGGACAACATAATGTCATTACATTTAACAAACATATTTGAAGAATAAATTCCAGTATGCAGGATCCGTTCCCTAGTGGTTGTTGGACTGTCAGTAAGTTGTTTACATAAATAAAGATTTGGTGTCGAGCAGCTCTGCTGCATTTTCTTGTTGTATTCGATAGTAAGGATTGACAATGAGATAGCGAACACACCATAAAAAGACTGAATAGATTTTAAAAGGGAGCCAGAATACAAAGTTGTCAAATGCGAAGTTTTCGAGGAAGAACTAGCTATTAAGGGCGGGTTGTAAAATATTTTCAAAAAGTACCCTATTGAAACATAAAGAAAATCGAGTAGAAATAACTTGTATCCCACTTTATGCTGACCGATGTTGTCAATAAAATATACTTATACATTCCCTTTCTTAAGGTGTTGAGACATTGAAATTCGTTGATAAACAATCGTGAATATTAAAAACGTTATTGTGTTTGAATACCGACCTGGCCGATTCGGGCGGAAGATTTTTCAAGTAACCGGATATACTAATTCGTCTGGTTTGAAAACCCCAGTTAATTATAAAACGACGATTACAATTATACTTGTCAGTAGTATCAGTGATTTAGACATTAGTTATAAACACAGCTAGCAATTTACACATTAAAATGAAAAACAAAAAATCTTCAGCCAAAAAGGGTAATTTATATTTCGATGCAATTCATTAACAAATAATCATGTCACTACACATGAAATGAACTGTATACCTGCCATCACAACATTCACTTTTGTCTATTTGTGTTGCAGGGAGCCGCTCCTGATGGTGCCGGTGCTTCTGGTAGAGATTCACTTAGTAATAGATGCCCTGACTGCACGACAGGTGGATCGACCGTGATAAACGCACTAGAAAGTTTGAGCAGAAATCAGCAAGTCTTCATGGCCGACTTACAACGACTTAACAAGGACTTGGCAAAAAGAGAAGAACAACGTCAACGCGACAAGGACGATCTGCAAAAGCAGTTAAATATGTTGAAGAATACCCGTGATCAGGATGCTACCGTAATTACCAACCGATATATTGCTCTGCAGGAACAATATGAACATCTCAAAGAAGTTCAAAAAGGCATGCGATTGATAGACTCTGAACGTCGTGAAAAACTTAAGATTTTAAATAAAGAGCATGTCATCCTCAACACAAAATATCAAGAGCTTCAACATGCTTACGCCAATTTGGAAAAGGAAATGATCCGTATGAAAAATCTGCTGAGTAATCAAGAGATCGGAAATGCTGTAGAAGGAGAAGATATTGCCGGAGAACATGTGGATATCATTGACCAGCTCAAGGCCGACAAACAGGATCTGGTGCAGCGACTGGAAGATAAAATGGCAGATATAGAAACCCTTCAGCGACAACTAGATCAGCAGATGGACATGGGAGAACGAAGGATGTCCGAGCACGAAACCGTACGATTAACCAGAGAAACAGCGCATGAACGGAAGTTCGACAAACTCTATGAAATGGTGGAGATAATGGCAAAGGAAAGGTCCTTAGTTGCTGACGACACTCCTAAACCAGACCAACAACAAAAAGTAAATCAAGCGTTTAAGGCGACGAGAATGCAGCTCAAAGAACGCAAACCGGGTCCCAACAAAACGCAAGGTACCAGACCTTTCAAAGTTCAACAACTCGGTTTGGACTTTTAGCTAGTAAAGGAGTTTGTGCGTAATAGAAACGTATAGTCCTACCATGTCGACTGATGAGATTCCGGTTAGGTGTATTCATAATTTATTCTAGGAGGCAGTTGTTCACTTCAATTTAAAGACTGGACAGTTAATATACATACTTATAGTAGTATTTGTTTCTTCTTTTCTGGATGAAAAGGTTATTGTAAGACCCATGTGATTGCAACAATACCATTTTGTAATATATTAAGTATGACATAAATAAATTACACTGCAACATACAGCTGCTTCGTCCCTTAAGGACATATCGGCGATGCCAGGGGTCAAAAAGGTTGAAATTCAAATCTGATTAAACATTGATAATGACAATCTTTTTTCATTTTTTATTATTTTGGCTTTATATATAGCATATCTAATAAATATAGAACATTATTTCTATTGCTTTACTTTTTTTGTTTTTGGAGGAGTCCTTTGTCAACTTACATATAGGTTCATTGTACATTGTATATGGTATTCATCAGCAATGACTTGATGGTGTTAAATGCCATAATAAAATCATTTTTTTAATTCTATAGAATCGTCGTCATCAACTCTATGCATTAAGTAATACAGGGTTTGGCACGCACGATAACAAGTTGACGAAACAAACGTTCAAATGAAATTTTCTTACCTTAAAATAAAATTGTGCATTGCACCAGTACACTAATATCAGAGGCATGCTTGGTTTGGTTTGGTTTATTATTGTTTAACGTCCCATCAGCAGCTATGGTCATTTAAGGACGGCCTCCCCTGTGTGCAATATGCGTGTGTGTTGTTGGACGCTGCGATAAAGCAGCAGACGTATGTCTCGGACAGGGGACAGAACCCATAGCCTTCCTCAGAGGGGCGAACGCTCAACTAAATGCCAAAAATGAGGCATTGTCAAAGGAGACATTAGGAAGAAGAGACTTGTTTAGAAAGAAGAGAAAAAATAAGATCCAAAATTTAGTCGCCTCTGTAGGTACAATTCGTACGCCCTACCTGCAGGGACGGGGGAGCATTTCAATTTTGGTCTCCATATCCTGTTTGTACAAGACACGAAGGAAAAACCCCTTTTCTGCAGGGAGTCCAACAAAAGTCGCCTTTTACGAAACACATGCAGTGTTCTAATTCAATGCTCCTAAATAGACAATAAGGAAGAAACCGCCCGATGCTGCAGGGCCCTCCACAGAAGTCTGCTCTGTTTAATCGTACAGTGGGATACAGCAGGCTTATTCTTAACTCGAACATGTACGGGTTAATTACGGGAGCGTGAGAGTTTGATAGTCAATACACTATGTATATGTAAACAGAAATGAATACAAATATTTGTTGTTAAAACAGAGGACTATTGTACATAATTTCAATGTTGAAGGAATTCGAGACATGCATCTATACAAAATATATCTAGCTCATTTCACATTGTATGTGTATGCTGACGTTAATGAGTGCAAAAAGTGATGTTACAAGATTACTAACGTTGGGTGGGATGTATATCATATAGGACCTTTTAGAAGATGTATGCAATCCTCTTTCAAGTTAAATTGTCGTTTGCTTGTTTGGGTTTCAACGTCTTCGCAACAGCCAGTGTCATGTTAGGACTGGTGCCTGATAGGAGAAAACGGCAGAAAGAGAAAGTAGAACAGAAAGGAGACAGGAACGATAGAAAACGAGAAATAGCTCGCCTTTGGTCACTTCCATATCCTCTTAGCATGGACAGAAGAGACCTGCGATTTCGCGATAGGACCCAACGGAGTGCAGTAGTGATCTGAAAGTTATATGAAGCAGGGTGCCTTAGGAGACAACGCCTTAAACAAAGAGCAGGGTGGTAAGGATTGAAGCTATATAATCACATTATCAGACTGATTGAATAGAATATTACTTATTTTACATATTCAATTTGAATTGTCTCCCCTACAGCATACTACATGTCGTAATCCATCTTTAGCATACTGTATTGATTACCAAATATTGTAGGTGCATCACATGTGCTCTATGTTCATCTTTTAAACAAGGAGCGGGTATTACCACCTGGTCAGCTATTGATAGGACATTAAAACCCTTCAAAATCAAATAATCCTCCACTCCAGAAGCTATAGGGTAATCCAATTAGCTAGTATATAACAGGTCTAATGGGCGGTATTTCCGTGTATACAGAAAAGAAACTGAAATCAATCTAACTGTTAGAACAGATTCTTCCCCCCTCTCCCTACATTTCCATAAAATTAGAAAATTCGAGATTAAGAAATTCACATTGATTAAACATTAAAATCAATTACTGAAATCTGTATTTCAATCTTTTAAACTTTTGGTAAACACTGCATCTTTTTCATTACGTGTGCACTAAATACATACTTGAATTGGCTCCTAAATGTATTTTTTCAGAGGTTAAATATTTGTATTCTCATACTAGAGAGCAAATAAAGTTTACTTAAATGATATACCCTTGAAGGGAAGGTTTGTTGGAGATTTAACGGAGATCGTTTCACAAAGTCTACCTATATGTAATGAACATTGATCACACCTCAACTGGTGGTTGTTTACATGAAATAACGCAGTGGGTAAATGTAGAATGCTGAGCAAGTCGCCAACTCGCGAATTAATTATATTTTCTTTTTCCTGTTCCATTAAATCGTTGAACTTTTTTTTGTTATGATGTTGAAATTGTGATTGACGTCGTTGTTTTAAAAAACGCGGCTCAGACCGCCTGGAAACTCGTTTGAGGTGCGAGTTTGCTTATTAGAATGTAAAAACAACTTTATAAAATTCATTTTATTTTTTCTTGTTTCAAACATTTGTTATTTTCATTTTTTATTAATTGTTGATGACTTTAAAGCTGATCACATTTAAACATTTAACAGTCATGATTGCACATCAATCTTGATCATGATAAATGTTTGTACAAGAATGGCACAAATAAAAAGACGCCACTCTTATTACCGCCATTTTCGCTACACCAGGAACAGATCCAATCACAGCGACGTTAGGTATTAATCAACCGGTTAACTACAGTTTAACCTTCACTTTTTTCTGTTTTAACGGCGACATATAATTTGATCAATTGGAGCGATTGTGACTACTCTACGTGGTGTTCTGGTTGCTCTGATAGAGTCTGTTCAACTCCGAATGATTCTTTGGGTCGATACAAACAAAAAGGTAAGTACTTCATCACCCTCCACGAGAACCAGCTCGCGGGCAGGAGAGGCAGGTACACTTCCTTTCCTTCACTGTACTGGCGGAAGTGGTCATCCTTCTTCTGCTCCAGCCACGCCGTAATACCACGCTCCTTCAAAGTTCCTGTGTAAAATAACAATAATTCCAATCCCTTTATATCTATTGTCATTATGTTTTTAAGTGGTTACGAATGCAGGTTACAACTGTATCGGCTGAAATGTGCCCTATCGTATTTAATTAATAGAGTTAATAGCACTGTTTCCCAGAAGTTACTGGAGGGATATTTTCTTGATTTCACATGAAGGTTTCCTACGGTCCCTTGTTATGTATGATAATATTTTGGACTGATAGGAAAACAAAGAAAATCAACAGGCAGATATTTTGAAATTTTAGAGTGAAAGTTTGTTAGAACTATTCCTCAGAACGTACTGAAAGGATCTTTCTCAGTTTTTACTTGAATGTTTCCCTTGGTCATTGATTAAGGAAATATACCCTTTCTCAAGCACACATACACACATGCACGTATACACAACACACATTGTGGCACGTCCTTAAATGACATTTATTGTTGATACATTTTGTAAGACGTTTAACCTTGTACAACCAACGAACCAAGCTGGAAAATCAAATTTTAGGACTGATAGGGAGAAAAAACGGCCAAAAGGCAGCCATCTTGAGTTTTGAGAGTTAAGTATTGTTAGCACTATTTTTGAACAAAACAAATATACTGGGGGATTGTGTTTTTCGAATTTCATATGGAGGTATGCATATTGATTTTTTGGACAGATCTTAAAAGACAGGATTGCAACAAGACAGCCATCTTGAATTTTGACACTTCAGTTTTGTTGTCACTATATAATGTGTATGTTCCCGTTTGCTTCCATGTCAAAATACCATTAGCCCTAATAGAACCCATCTGTCATTGACAGCCAGAATGTGAGAATAACAAAAATTTGTTAAACTTTTCATATAATTACGGAATTTTGCTACAGAAAAGTGGCAAAAGTATGACATTACAAGGTTTAGTTATTGTACAAGATTCGCGTTTTATGATTTACAAAACATGGGACTGCGTTATAGTATCTGTAAGGAAAACGAAAAACAAAGAAGGTAAAAGATCATCTTTTGTAGATCTGATAAAGATACTTTGATAGTTATCGCCAAGATCCTTCTAGGATCTGTTGTTTTGTTTTTTGATAATAGGCCTCATTAAACCAGAACACGAGCGTATGATAAATTACAAAACATATCGAAATTTTGTTGACGCAGACACACGGTTCGTTTTCTTGTCCTGATCTGTAATTGTGAAGATAGTTAAGACAGCTTTCTAATATTGTTTTTATCATTTATATCATAACCCATAGATCAGGTAATTTTTGATACTTTTGTCAACAATATCGGCCATAATAATGATTCCGACATCTAACAGCACAGGCTGTTGTTGTGTTATGTTCACATGTGTATTATTTCATTGATATTTGAGCATACAGTCACTTTAAGTTTAAGTTTTACATTAAATAAGACACGTCACATCTGATCTCATATATTAGTAGAAGGGAATGAAGCAAAAAAATCAATAAACACGTATTATCACCAGTATCAGTCCACTAATGATTTATGTACCTACCGGGAACAGTGTTGTCAAGGAAACAAGCGACGACCCCTCCACACAGGTTTGGGTTTGCTAGAAGAGTTTTTATAGTGTTGTCGTTATAGGCATTTCCTGAAACATATATTTGACCTCATTCATTAATACTTTTATTGCAACAACATTTTGTTTTGTATATCTGGTAAATACACCCCCTCCTCCCTTGCACGACACCGTTGCAGGTGGGGGATCGGAAAACGAATTCACCTGCTGTTACCCACAGCATGTATCGTAGGAGGCAACTAATGTGTACAACACTCTGCAGAATTGGGGATTTGCTTTGGAGTCCTCTATAAGGGGGGACACAAAAGCGACCAAAATTAATCTTCTGCATTCATTGCGATGTTTGGAATCTTTATCTTTCTTTAAACGTCTAACTTCCTTTTATTTCCTATCGCCTTGCTTGGCAAAACCTCACTTTTGGCTTGAATGTTGAGCGTTCGACCAGGTTAGGAAGACAATGGGTTCTGTTCCCAGGCCGGGACATACCAAAGCCCTTAAAAATGGTAGTTTTTATTCCCTGCTTAACGTTCAGCATTTAGGGGAATGACAACAACTGGATCATCCGTTGTCAGTATAATGTGATTGGGCGGAATGCTGTGCTGGGTGCCTTCGGCATGGTATTTTAGTGAGAAAACACTATAAAGTCGGCATCAGATCCGCGCTACCAAAAGGAGACAAGTACACCAACATACCCTACTCCTGCATACAAGCACGCATACACTACACGGAGGCACGTCCTTGACTTGACTGTTAATAGGACGTTTAACAAAATTAGACCAAACCAAACCAAAACAAACCCTTGCAGGTTAGGAGATGTTTTCTTTGTAAACGTCATCGCAACAGCAAGAGGCAAGGCGCCACCTCACTTTTGGGTTAAATGTTGAACGTTCGCCCACGTGACGAATACAATGGGTTCAGGTCCCAGACCGGGACATATCAAAGTCATTCAAAATTGTAGTTTTGCTGCAGCATTTAGGTTAATGGCAACAACTGATTCGCCCGTTGTCCTTACAATGTGAGCGGGCGGAATGCTGTGTTGGGTGCCTTCGGCATGGTATTTCACTGAGATAACAGCATCTGATCCATGCTATCACAAGAAGGCAAGTACACCAACATACCCTGTATCAGGAACACATTCATGAATGTACGCATACACAACACATATGGAGTAATGTCCTTAAATGACCTTAGCTGTTAAAAGGACGTTAAGCATAAAAAAACTTTGAAAAATGTATTTGAAAGGTGAGGTATGCGGCCTCCTGCATAAATGTTTTTCTTGTATGTTCAGTGGACAAGATAGAATCGATCTTCTAACCCCCTCTCCACCGAACAAAAAATGTTTACCCGTTCTTTTCTCTCCTAAATATTTTCCGGCAGTGTTGTTCAGAGTACACGTCTTCTTATAACCTTAGTTATTGATTTGTAAAATTTGGTAGCGTACTGGCCGCAAACGCGGCTGCAACAGAACTGAGAATTGTGGAATGCATTCTAGTCAATGATGTTAGGTACATTATGTTACTTACCTGTATTAAGATCATCTGGAAAGGTCTCTAACCAATAGGGAACCATTAGACCAACAAGTAGAGAGGTTCCGATGATAGCGATATTCCTAGTAGATGAAAGCGATACTACTTGGAGGTTGGACAGGACAATGCCATTGAACATTCCAAACATGACTATCATAGCGCCACCTAGTACAGGCTGTGGTATTGTTATGAAGACTGCCGATACCTTTCCAACAAGGCCAAACACTATATAAATGACTGCTACACACACGAACACATCTCGGCTTGCCACCTGTAAATACAATGTAATTGTAAGGTCGTTGATTGTAGTGTACTGGAACTGTATAAATGTTACAATAACGCTGGCAGAGTTATCGCTCTTTGTTATTAGTTCAGGAACTTGATTGATAAGGGTTACCGTTCCTTGTATCGCTCTCCTCAGTGGGAGGCGTATAAGGAAGATCGATGCCATGTTTGCTGTAGATTTAATCAGTCGTACCTGAGGATTGTCGATGCGTAATGTAAGATATGTTACTCGTCACGGATGTCATGATCCATTATTCAATTGTAGCATTACTCAACATGTTATCAAATGTTCTAGTCAGTCGAATAGCGCTTAGTAGTCCATTCAAGTCATATTGCCTAAGAGCATTCCATTTAGTCGTTTCAACCACGTTGGCTCAAACGTTTGTTCATTTCATAAAGTTTAATATAGAGTCTGTCATGCATATTTTAATAACAAACACGATATTATATCTTAGTTACAGTATTTTATTCATGGCTAGGTTTTAGTATTTCTGTATATTATCTTCGATATAGAACAGAACATGAGCGCCGTATTTGGTCAGTTCAATAATTGATCGTTATCTCCCTTACACTGTGAGGTTGTAAGCCATTTAGTAACTTTGGTTTATTTTTATTGTAACTTTTTACGATAATAAACAACAAACATTATGGTCTCCGGGTCATCTTTCGCCCAAGGGCACGTTCATGTACATGTATATCAACAAAATGTATATCTATAAATAGTTCTGTATCAAAAGAGGTGTTCTAAGCCGTCTTGATTGTTATTTTATTGAAGTATATCTGATATATAAATCCTGGAGTTGTATTTACATGTATTTTACGTTACCCATGTGTTTGTGCTGGTTCTAATACAATAAGATGTTACTTTTCATTATTCTTCTTAATTTGTTACCAAATGCATAAACAACAAATAACACTGTGTAAAACCGAAACTTGGTAAATGGTATCTAAGCTATAGAGAAAACCGCAAAGACGAGGTGGTCTTTGCTCGGCTCCGGATTGGTAATTCCTACATAATCCATTCTTATTTATTGAAAAGCGAAAACCAGCCTCAATGCATAGCGTGTCACGACCCATTTACAGTAAAACACTTGTTATTAGATTGCGTAGACATTCAGCCAAAAAGAAACGAAATTATAATAATAAAACAGATCTCAAATCACTTTTCCAAAACGTCAGTATCTCTGCAATTATAACCTACCAAAAACTTGTTGGTCTGTTTCAAAAGATATTACTTTTCATAGCCACTTTAACAATTTATTCAAGTTGGCGTTTGTCTTTTACCTTTTCGTTCGCGTTTGATATTATTCCTTGAACATGTTTTGTCTACTTTATTGGCCTTAATGACCTCTTCTGTGTTGATGGGCCGTAAAGAATCTAATAATTACAATAACTTTTGCTGTCTTTACTCATGACAAAGTAGTTATGTTTTCACTTTAACAATTGAACTGATCAATCATGTTATGATCTGGATCATAAATTATAATCATAATCCAAAAATACAAAGTGAATTAACTTGGATATATTCCAATGGGAACTTGATGAACTTTGATAAATTGAACCTAGAACATGGGCTGTACCTTTGTTACTCCTACGGCTCCGATACTCCCTCCATTGGTAGTGGTTGCGTGACCACAGCCTAGTATACCAGATATTGTGCTAGCAAATCCTTCAATAGCTATTCCGCGGTTTATCGCATGTCTTGGCGGCGGAGGTACATTGCAAACCCTTGCACATGCGTAGTAGTCACCAATGGAATCGAGGATTGAAGTAATTGTGGCTATTAGAAAGGCGACGAAGACTCCTGTATGAAATGATGGCGCGCCAAACTGACCTGATAAGAACACATATTTGTTAATTATTATAATTTCTCAGGGTAACTGCACATTGGATGCGCGTCTGAAAATGACATTAACTATTTGTAGGATGGGTGTCGCAGCTATAGAGAAAGGCAAAGTTGCTGTCGCCCGTCTCCGGTTTGGTCTTTCATACACTACCAATTGCTATTTATTAAAACGCTAATATCCGTCTCAATGCATAGCATGTCAGGAACCATTTAAAGTAAAAACATTTTTCTATGGAAATACAATGAGTCTTAAATCTCTTGTTGTAAGTTTATGGTTATTTACTATGTAATAACGTTGTATTTACTATGTTTGGTTTGGTTTAGTATTGTCAACATCTATGGTCATTTAAGGACGGCCTCCCCTGTGTTCAAAATGCATGCGTGTAGTCCATGCGTGTGTGTTTTGTGAGGCTGCGATATGTTCGTGTCCGTCTCCTTGTGATAGCGCGGAACTGATGCCGACTTTATAGGGCTACCTAACTGAAACGTACTGCCGAAGACACACAGCAGGACAACCCACCCGGTCACATTATACTGACAACGCCAAAAGTGAGGCATTGTCAAGGGAGACATTTGGAAGGAGAAAGTTGTTTAGAAAGAAGAGAAAAGATAAGATCCCAAATTTAGTCGCCTCTTACGATCATGCAATGGGGGCATCAGGTACAATTCTTACGCCCTACCTGCAGGGACAAATTACTATGTAATAAAGTTGTATCCTAAAGCAGTGCGCAAGTTTCATATCTTCTTTAGCATCCTTAATCAACTCATTTCAGTTTCGTTCTGGATTTTCAACATTTGGAGTTATTGCACAAAGCTAAACGTTTTTCCATACAAACAAACCATACACCAACACTAGTAATGTATATCCAACAAAAGACAAAAAAATGAACATTCTATGCAGAGCATGTTAATTAAATGTATACTAATGGATTCCTACCTGGGTAAGGGACTCTGAACCAGTGTGCATCTTTGATGACTCCAGATTGTGCATCTACTCTTGCCATGTACTGAGCCTCGTTCTGATCGTCCGTCAAGGCACCAGTCCAGGTCATCAGGGCTGACATTAACCATCCCACCAGTATACCGATAAGTAGCTGATATATAAGTAACGGTATATATTACAATCATGGCTGACATGAACCTACCCACCAGTATACCGATAAGTAGCTGATATATAAATAACGGTATATATTACAATCATGGCTGACATGAACCATCCCACCAGTATACCGATAAGTAGCTGATATATAAGTAACGGTATATATTACAATCATGGCTGACATGAACCTACCCACCAGTATACCGATAAGTAGCTGATATATAAGTAACGGTATATATTACAATCATGGCTGACATGAACCATCCCACCAGTATACCGATAAGTAGTTGATTTATAAGTAACGGTATATATTACAATCATGACTGACATGAACCTACCCACCAGTATACCGATACGTAGCTGATATATAAGTAACGGTATATATTACAATCATGGCTGACAGGAACCATCCCACCAGTATACCGATAAGTAGCTGATATATAAGTAACAGTATATATTACAATCATGGCTGACATGAACCTACCCACCAGTATACTGATAAGTAGCTGATATATAAGTAACAGTATATATTACAATCATGGCTGACATGAACCATCCCACCAGTATACCGATAAGTAGTTGATATATAAGTAACGGTATATATTACAATCGTGGCTGACATGAACCTACCCACCAGTATGCCGATAAGTAGCTGATATATAAGTAACGGTATATATTACAATCAGGGCTGACATGAACCTACCCACCAGTATACAGATAAGTAGCTGATATATAAGTAACGGTATATATTCCAATCATGGCTGACATGAACCATCCCACCAGTATATCGATAAGTAGCTGATATATAAGTAACGGTATATATCACAATCATGGCTGACATGAACCTACCCACCAGTCTACCGATAAGTAGCTGATATATAAGTAACGGTATATATCACAATCATGGCTGACATGAACCTACCCACCAGTATGCCGATAAGTAGCTGGTATATAAGTAACGGTATATATTACAATCATGGCTGACATGAACTTACCCACCAGTATACCGATAAGTAGCTGATATATAAGAAACGGTATATATTACAATCAGGGCTGACACGAACCTCCCCACCAGTATACCGATAAGAAGCTGATATATAAGAAATGTTATATATTACAATCATGGCTGACATGAACCATCCCCCCAGTATACCGATAAGTAGTTGATATATAAGTAACGGTATATATTACAATCATGGCTGACATGAACCATCCCACCAGTATACCGATAAATAGATGATATATGAGCCGCCCGCTGGGATTAGGGTCCTTAAGTAGTAAGAAATCAATTTTGTGATTTTTATGATTGAGAAATCTAGAGACATTTCTGATCAAAATGATATAAAAAATATGTCAGTCCGTCAATATTTGATGATTTGACGCCACTTTAAAAATACGTCGTACATAGAAGTAGGCTATATGACTTCTGATCATGACGTCGCTTACAACGTCATTATTTCTAACGTTACTTTTAAGATTGAAACCGGCGGGTAACATATATATATTAATTTTAACTGCTTATGTCTGGCTTTACTCCAGAAGTTTAAGCATGATTGTAAAGAAAATTCCAGAGCATTTAAATGGAAATAACTAAATACGTTATTAAGTCATACACAAATACTGAAATGTAAAACAAATAGGGTTCTATATGACCATGGTATAAATAATACTTCTGTACTTTTGAACTTTGTAGACTAACATATCTACAGTTTTCTTCCGGTTATAGCTTTGACAAAAATATGTTTACAACAAAAACTTGAATCAGTATTCACAAATCTATACCATTTTGTAATGACCATGACATACATGAAATTAATTTGTGCGAGTTTTGGAATGACCGTACATGAAATAAAGTGGTGCGAGTGTTGACGTTGCAAGCGTGGTCACTGTCTTTTACGTCGCCACTTTGAATGTGAGTCATGCCCAACTCAACGAGTTTTTAATGTATTGAAGAGATTATATCTAAAAATGCAACGAAGAAAAAAATTATGGCCTTCTGTGTTACGGATTAATTACAATTTTTATTTCTCTTTAGCGTATATATTCTTGCGACACTTTGGTCAAAACTCGTACAGGAATTAAAGATAAACTTAATTTATTTTACACCAATATGAAACAACATANAACCCCGGCCGCCTTGGTGAAAGGCAAGTGCGCTATCCACTTCACCACCCAACCACTCAGTACAGCACAATTCTGTGTAATAAGTATTTGACTATTATATTTTAGTTGAAAATGCTGGTATACTTAGCCTCAGACTTTCCCCATGTAAATATTTGAGGTTAATGAGGTCACTTATTCCAACAGTACCATTTTTCATTTGAATGAAAACTTCAAATTCTTGCTGTTTTAATTTAGTGATTGTTTTTCTGAAATATTTGTTAAACATCATTTCCAGAAAACAAAACAGGCATTTTAGTTAAGGCACAGAATATGTTATTCCTATATTTAATACTGGTGGGTTTTTTTTGTCGATAATAAATAACAAGTTATGTTTTGTTCATTATCCCATCATTTTATTGGCCAAGGAAAATTCAATACTCTTATCACATCACTACACATTTTGGCCTCACTTCCTAGATCCAGTAAACACTTTGACATGATGAAAACCCTAGAAAACTTATACAGCCACAGAAAGACCGTCCTTAGGCCAGTACAAATGGACTGAATAGTCACTGAAATGCACTAATAGTAGATTTCAAACACAGTATGTCATCATTCCTTTGTTTAGATAGATCACCAATATGAGCTTAATTACATCTAGTGTAGGCAGAGAAGGTCCCTGGCCTTTTTCACCACTTTCTAGAAGACCTTCAGGAATGACTTTCCCTGTCATAACTAGTCCCACATCAGTCTCATCCCCGCCAAGTGCAGGTTTCACCTTTAGTTCCCCTAAAATGAACATTTAATATACATATCAACAGAAAGTATATGCATTACAAACCAATTTATATATACCTGGTACATACAAGGTTTTGTGATCATCTATGCAACACAATATATACAATTTTACAGCTATATTGTGAAGTAAAACAGTTTTATAAACAAAATGCATTCTCAACACATTCATTGGACGTGAAAAAAACACATTGTACAATCGGAAACGATGGATTTCAGGGGGCTAAATTACCGAGTTATCGTGAGGTTTTTAAGTTTTATGAGTACATGAAGCTCTCAGTCCGTGTCACATATGTCTACATGTATGTAGGACTTCGATCGTATAGCTGAACACGGCTAGCCCGGATCATATTGCTGTATAAACATTGTTTTACTGACATGCTGTGACGGTATAATCAATTACGTTAACAATGAGACGTTTATATTACTTATATTTAAACCAGATGATGCTCCTAAAAAGGTAGTCTATGACAAAATAACACAAGAAAAGTTTACTGAATTGATATTTAATATAAAATCAATTACTATCTCGTAAAAGATTGATGAGTCGTATAGAACACGTATAGAGACATATTGATCAGAAAAGATTTTACCAACGATCAAGCGCGGGGTGTTTTACAAAAAAGTTTGAAAAACAACAATTGCAAATCAATGAATCACATGATCAAGTTTCAAACTTATGAAGTTCCCGATCGAATTCAGGCTTTATGTACTTTATGTACTTTATACCATTCATCAGTCAGTGGATGGTGTACGTAGAAAAATGATTGTCTAAAAGGTTGAAAAACAACCATTTCGAAATAATGAATCAAACTATCAAGCATCAAACCTCACAAGTTCTCGAGCTGATTTGATGGTCTTTGGTACCGGTGACTATGAACAGGTCGCGCAAGCGCAAAATTTCAAGCGTAGTTGTCTTGCGGGAATTGTCAATATTTGATAAAGCTCTAAAAGTTAAAAGTTCCCAAAACATATGTGCTAGAAAACCGACTTTTGTTTTTATTTCTTCGAATGACATGTTAACAATACCGCAGGAATCGCTAAAAATATGAAAATACCGACGGTATTAAGCATTAAGCTTTACTAAAAGTTATTTTTTTTATCTTATGTTTATTTATAAATCTACAAATATAAAAGCAGTATTTATTAATTTTCAAACACTTTACATTGATATAGTCACACGAACATATATTATGGACAAAGAGTCCGTAGCGGTCAGGTAACTTCTACAAAGAATGGAACTGAAAAAAATGATCCATGGAACTGGAAAAAATCATCCATTCTGATGAGGAAAACAACAAATAATAAAACAAACAAAATGTTATACCAGTTTACACAGCAATATTATCCGGGGCGGCCGTGTTCAGCTATGCGAAGTCCTTATATATGTGTGCACACATGTGTGATACGCTGTAAATCTTCATACGTGTACAACGTAAAATTTATCTCACGATAACTCGGTCAATTTTTTCAAATATCAAACTGAAATTTGGCATAAAAGTGTGTTATAGTCATATGAATAACATATCGTCTGATGTTGCTTACGTTTTTAGATTAATTTTAGAGATATAGTTTGAAGACGCTTCACGATGTGTAGATTTCTTTATACACGTGTGCAACGGCGCCAATCGTAAAAATTCGATTCGTCATTTCTATGTGATTTTTTCAAATATCGACCTGAAGTTTGGCACAAAGGTGAATCATAGTCATATGAAAAACATATCTTCTGATGTTGCTCACGTTATATGTTAATCTTAGGGTAAAGTCTGAAGACGCTTCACGATCTGCGGAGTTCAATTCACACACGTGTGCCACGCCGCCAAACGTAAAAAATAATTTCATTATAACTCGGTCGTTTTTTCATATATCTAGCAAAAATTTGGAGTATATATCAATAAAAGTCTTATTCATAACATATCCTCTGATGTTGCTTACTTTAGCAAGAGTTTTTAAAGATATTGTCTAGCGACGCTTTCTTAACTTAACACACGTGCCACGCCGCAGATCGTAAAATTTAATTCATCATAACTCGGTCAATTTTTCAAACAACAAATTGAAATTTGTTAAAAAGATGTATTATAGTCATATTAACAACAAATCTTCTGATGTCTCTTACTTTATTCGGTATTTTTATAGATTTTGTCTGGCGACGCTTGTTGTCGGTTGAAGACGCTTTTAAGGAGGACCCTTTTTGCCCATTTCACAATTTCTATTCATGATGTGATTTTTAAAGCAATTGGTCATTAATTTCACTATACAATAAAAAAAATACACATATTTTTCTTAATGTTTGCATACCTTGAAATCTTTGCTGTTCATGCTCATATTTTACAGCATGGTTTTCTTTCTTCTGAGTGTTCCCTAGCTGCGATAACGTAGCTTTCTGACGGCGATATGTTTTTTAATCGGGGCAGAGGAGGCAGGGTATTAATATTAGTACTAAGTGTTCCTATGCATCCAGGAAACGGGAAAGAAGTGACTGAACTGATCGTCTAGCTCTGCAGCTATCACACATCAATTCATATACTTTAAATTGGGTGGAAGATAGGCTGCTACATGTCACAAGTTTAAACGCAGCAACCGTGTCTGTCATCTTCCGTAGCGAATGTAAACAATCTACCGGAAGTGCGCGCACCAGAAAATGGGAAATCCCTGTCGCTTCGATATTTAAGTCAATTTGATTAATTATTGATATCTAAAGTGTATAATATTGTTTGAATAATTTAGAGATAGCCTTCTAGTTTCAGTAGGTACATTATATGTATATCTTTTGGGAATAATAGAAGTTATATCGTACATTCTTGTAAAGCAAGTGAGATTTCCGTTTTCGCGCGAAACGGAAATAGAATAGAAATATGACGTCTGTCGGAATTCCCGTTTTTCTCCATTTTCATTGGCTAGAAGTTCAGGAACCAAATCCCAGCCGGCGGCTCATATAAGTAACGGTATATATTACAATCATGGCTGACATGAACCTACCTACCCACCAGTATACCTATAGGTAGCTGATATATAAGTAACGGTATCTATTACAATCATGGCTGACATGAACCTACCCACCAGTATACTGATAAGTAGCTGATATATAAGTAACGGTATATCTTACAATCATGGCTGACATGAACCATCCCACCAGTATACCGGTAAGTAGCTGATATATAAGTAACGGTATATATTACAATCATGACTGACATGAACCTACCCACCAGTATACCGATAAGTAGCTGATATATAAGAAACGGTATATATTACAATCATGGCTGACATGAACTTACCCACCAGTATACCGATAAGGAGCTGATATATAAGTAACGGTATATATTACAATCAAGGCTGACATGAACTTACCCACCAGTATACCGATAAGGAGCTGATATATAAGTAACGGTATATATTACAATCATGGCTGACATGAACCTACCCACCAGTATACCGATAAGTAGTTGATATATAATTAATGTTAGATATTACAATCATCGCTGATATAAACCACCTCACCAGTATACTGATAAGTAGCTGATATATAAGTAATGTTAGATATTACAATCATCGCTGATATAAACCACCTCACCAGTATACCGATAAGTAGCTGATATATAAGTAACGGTATATATTACAATCATCGCTGATATGAACCACCTCACCAGTATACCGATAAGTAGCTGATATATAAGTAATGTTAAATATTACAATCATCGCTGATATAAAGCACTTCACCAGTATACTGATAAAAAGTGTAGCTCGAGTAATATGTACATTCGAGATACTAGGGGATTTAACATCAACTTCTCGGAATAAATGCCATTAGAATGCATATAAAAAAACAGTTGAGTCAGTCAACAAACTCACTAGGTGGAGAGGAACAGATGGTCCCAATGTATTGGACTTAGTACCGACATATGAAATAAAGAAATATTATTAAAAACCTGGAAATTCAAAGGCCACTGCGTAAACTGATCACAGCTTTATAGTCTTTGATTTTCAATACTAAAATGAATGGTATGGTTATGCAAATTACAAGAAAGCCTATGAAAAAACAGATTTTGTGAAAACAATCGAAGAAATTGAGAAGGCCAACTTGGAAGAAAAACTATCGGAAACAAAGGACATTTAAAATAACTGGAATTGTTTTGTGACAAAACAAATCAGGAATCGGATTACAAACATGTGCTAATGAAGATGCTATCATTAGGTGGATTAAGGAAACAAAAAATTTCTTTGGACAAAGTATTTATAAAGCAAATCAAAAGGAAATGCTACATGTTAACAAGAAGTTTGTCAGAACAAAGGATGAGATGGTAAGAATTTGTCAGAACAAAAGAAGAGATGGTAAGAAAAAGTGCAACAGAAAGACAAACGCTTGAATTGGAGACTTAACCACAGATCCAACCGACCGAAGATTAGAAAAAAACCTAACAACTTAGAAAAGCGTCAATATTCTTCAGGAATACTTCAAAATTGCGTTTACAGTAGAGCGAGAGGAAGAGGTACCATCTCTCAAACCAAAATACATGCAGGTACCTCTGAGCAGTATAGAGATAAATTAGAAGTAAATAAGTTGCTTAAAAGATTTAAACTAGTTAAATCTCCAGGTTCAGATGGCATATGCCCTCGGCAAATCGAGTACAGAGGACACTGTTAATATTCCAATTACAAGATTGTTCAGGCAGCCATTATAAACAGGAAAGATCTCAACAGCTTGGCGGAGAGCTTCTATCAGTGCTGTACACAAAACAGGAAGTGTTCCTTTGGAGGAAACTACCGACCTATTACCGCAAACTAATACTATGCAAAATAATGTAAACGTTAACTAGATAACATATTATTAAGCACATGATAACTAATTTACTGTAGACAAGCAAGAGGTGCGATTTCATGTCAGGAAGGTCAACAGCGTAACAGCTCTTTAACATTATAGAAGAATAGACAAAAGCCTACAGATCTTGCCCTATATATCGAATGTATACACTTAGACTTCAGAAAGGCATTCGGCATAGTCCTCCATAACAGATAATGAGTAAACTAAAGGCATTTGGGATCAGTTGAGCAATTCTCACGTTGATGAAAAACTTTTCGTATAACTGACAGCAACAAGTGGTCATTAATGACAAATAATTTTCGGGGGCAAAGTAGAATTTGGCATACCTCAGATTACAAAGTCCACGGAAACAATGAAGTTTTACAGGCAGATCTACGCAGACTATCACTAATTATGTACTTCATAACCAAAACCTAGAGAGTAAAATATGCGAAGGACTTTGGAGTTACATTTGATGAAGAACTTACGGTTGACAAGGGTATCAGTGAAAAGGTACAAAAAGCAACATAAATATGATAAATATGGTATAAGAGGAACTTTTAAATTTTCCTGATGCCAATTTATTCATTCTACTAAAAAAATCACCTTTAACGATGCACACTCAGTGGGTAAGTGACACAGTATAGTGTGTTATGCACTTAACTACATTTAGTAGTTTCGCAGTAATCCTATAGTTATTATTTGTACAATGTAACGTATACTGCAATACATCATTCAGCAGACAAGTACTACGATTATCCACTAACGTGGTGTTATATACCATATGCAATGTCATCTGATTAAATCTATCTCTCAGCTTAGATGGCAAGATAATATGAACAGTTAACGTAAGGGTTCAACATTCGACCACGCAGTAATCGTTTATGCTTTACTAATGCGTACAAGTTTAAGCCATTTTGTCATTCATATAATGAACATATACCGTGCCTCTATAACTGATTGATAGCGCTGAGAATATATACCTTAATGTCAACAAACTTACTAGGCGGAGAGAAACAGATAGCCGTCTATTGACAAACAGCAAAGGCATGATCATCATATGTTAGTTGAGTTTTGAATTCAAAAATAAGGAGACATTGATTTATTGATTATGCTAGAATATTTCTGATTAATGTTTGTTGGTGTGGTTTGTATTCCTAAACCTGAATAAGCACGTTAAATATACAACTGTTTATATATTCGATTACAATCTACCAAATCATGTGAAAGTATTTGTCAGGATGGTGTACATTCATCCTCCACATGTTGAAATCATAAAAAGGCGTTGTTCATTTTAATAGTTGCGCCTTAAAAAAAACGTGCATGTTCGGGAAAAGAATAAGCCTGCCGTATCCTACTACATGATCAGAGGAGGCAGAATCGGGGGTTTTCTTCTGTGTCTTCTGTCCACATTTCAACACTTAGGATTTTTTCGTTTCTCTCTCTCCTGTCTGTCTTTGCTATCTACTTTCAACTTTAGGCAGTTTCTTCCCCAGGAACCCGTCCTCATTTAACACCGGCTCTTACCAGAACGTTAAAACCCAAACAAACAAACTTGCGTCAAAAAATAATGCTAATAATTACCGAGAAAACTTGATGGAACGGGTACCAGTAAATGAAAAAGCCTCTCTTTCGTGACCAAGCAGGAAATGGCATCTTCTTGTGACCGATATAGAGAGATAGTATGATGGACGTGGCAGCAGTTCTACACAAAGTAAACATCCAGGTTCAGTTAACAAAGAAATCCATGTTCACGATTATTTATAATATGCATTGTAAGTAAGCAAATATTACATAATGTGTATACCTGATTGATTCCAGCCATATACAAGTTTTTGTGTAAGTTGAATACCTCTTTTTTTTCAAAACATTCAATGAATGCGTCGGCCTTTGTTTGGACAGGATAATATGCCTTAACATCATTTGTTGTCATATTTAAATACACAATGTTTAATTCGTCAAAGGAATGATAATGTTACTAAGGAGATTTGGGCATATTGTCATGAATTCCCTTGAAAGTGTAATTTGCAAGAAAATATTTCAACACCTTGTGTGCCCTCTATACAAGAGTTGTTTTACCTTGTGTATATTTCCCGTATCCCCCCTCGGAAATTTGCAACGCAAATACAATTGCTGGATGTATCAAATAAATCCCGCATGTAACCTAGCACATCATGTGCAGGTCCACAGAGTAAATGTGCCTTGCTTTTCAATATTAAAAAAAAAATGATTGGACAAAACCGCCAATTTTTATAAGTTTATTATACTTACACAGCGGCCATTCCCCAGTGAGCTCTGCCGAACTTCGCGGTGGCCCGCGACAGGAAAATACCACTCAGTAAGATGGCTGGGACAATTGTGACGGGTCCAATAAATTTGAGAAGGAGACCACATATTCCTGTAAGTCCTACCAGACAATGGATAATGCCTACCAGGATCAAACAGCCCTGGAACTGTTAGATAAAGAATAACAAATAATCATAACGAATACATATCACACACACAATTGTGATTAAGAGAGAGAGAGAGAGAGAGAGAGATTTGGTTTCCAATTATGACTTGCTTTATTGCTTATTTAATAGAGAGAGAGAGACAAACAGACATACAGAAACATGTATCGGAACTCATAGTCGATAATGAAGTTTAACAGGAACAGAAATTACAAAGTTAAATGGAAAAATACCATGAACATCCACAATAAACACCATATAAAGTGTCCATATACCGTAGAAAATTACACTTTATTTTGTATTCACATTCGTTACTAGTTTTGAAATTAATTTGAAAAAATAAAAAACAAAACAAAAAGCATGGTGAACCATCTACGCAATGCATACTCGACAAGCGTATTATACACGCTACGACAACTCTCCGTTCCCACGTAACGTATTAGACACGCTACGACAACTCTCCGTTCCGACGTAACGTATTATACACGCTACGACACCTCTCCGTTCCCACGTAACGTATTAGACACGCTACGACAACTCTCCGTTCCGACGTAACGTATTATACACGCTACGACACCTCTCCGTTCCCACGTATCGTATTATACACGCTACGACAACTCGCCGTTCCCACGTAACGTATTATACAGGCTACGACAACTCTCCGTTCCCACGTACCGTATTATACACGCTACGACAACTCTTCGTTCCCACTTAACGTATTATACACGCTACGACACCTCTCCGTTCCCACGTATCGTATTATACACGCTACGACAACTCCCCGTTCCCACGTAACGTATTATACACTCTACGACAACTCTCCGTTCCCACGTTACGTATTATACACGCTACGACAACTCGCCGTTCCCACGTAACGTATTATACACGCTACGAAAACTCTCCGTTCCCACGTAACGTATTAGACACGCTACGACAACTCTCCGTTCCCACGTAGCGTATTATACACGCTACGACAACTCTACGTTCCCACGTAACGTATTATACACGCTACGACAAAGCTCCGTTCCCACGTAACGTATTATAAACGCTACGACAACTCTCCGTTCCCACGGAACGTATTATACACGCTACGACAACGCTCCGTTCCCACGTAACGTATTATAAACGCTACGACAACTCTCCGTTCCCACGAAACGTATTATACACGCTACGACAACCCTCCGTTCCCACGTAACGTATTATACACGCTACGACAACTCTCCGTTCCCACGTTGATAACACCAAAATCATTTAAGTACGTCATAGTAGCATAAAAAAATTCGTATATTTTGTCTTAAACATGAGAGAAAAAAAGACCATCAACTAAATATATAGCTTATATACATTGTGGTGTATATTTATAAAGACCGACAAGGAATGCAAAAATGACAATGTAGGCGTCCTTTCAAGGTCCAGGTAACAATTTCCAGACACAGGCTTGAAATTTTGCTGATGGTGAAACTCGTAGAAAACAATGTGGTGATCGAAGGATTTTGGTAATATATCACTAAGGTTACTCTATCTTTTATATTTGATTGCTCTAATATTGTCAATTTTATTTTTGTTCTCTTAGGAAAAGTACTGTCTGGTATATCGAACAGTATTTTCATTTCTACTGAACTACTGAATTGGAAGGTTATTTGTTCTCAAAATCTTTCCAATTAAGGGAATGAAAATGTCAGCGAATTAGTGCGGTAAAGTCCGTTTTGTAGATTGTTTTTAATTTCTAATTATAATAAACATGTCTTTACATTTTTTGTTGTCTTAACGTGTTAATCAATACAAAAAAGTTGGCATAGAATCGCACAAGTCCATTATTTTGAAAATAAAATCGCATTGAATTGTAATGTAAGGATTGAATCGGGTATTATTTTCAATGGGTTTTGAAACAAATTTGATATATGAACAGCGAAGTAACTTAAATTTGTCTCGAGACTCAATCAAATGTATACCCCATAAACCTCGACACGGCACGATTCATCCTGAATTTAAAAAAACCAGTAACACGATCAGCTATGTAGTTCCCAGCGGGATCCTGTTTTACGTCCGATTTATTGGCGGAGTTGGTAATACTCTTATGTAAATTGTGTTTGTAAGTGCTGTTTAAATATAACACCTGAATATGCTCTAGACCTTAACGGACAGATATAAAAAGCATGGAAAACATTTTGTGACATTTACTTAGTTTAAGTTTGTGACATTAAATAACATTATGATATCAGTTACTGACGAAATGTTTACCTCTTGCAATTTGGTAAACGCAAGTTGTCTCCTCAATTCCATATCGGATCCTGTAGCATTTGTGATGGGTATACTTGTATTGTCCATACTCGCATCTGTATCCAGGCCTGCAAAGTTGTTTGCCGTGAATATAAATAATGTTGTACATATGTTGTAATACAGTACTTACTACAGTAATGAATGATGTGTTTCACCATCAGATCATGTTCAAATAAAAATGTTAGAAGCCAATATGGTTTTCAGTTTTGTAGATATTGTGAGTGAAAAAGCGGTATCTAATATTTGTTACAGTTTCAGTGCTATTATTAGTGTACGATTATTTACAATTGATGAATTCTGAAAAGATCTCTTCCATATGTTACAGTCAATCCGTTTACTATCGATGCATCTTTTTCATACTTTAACCATTACGTTGTATTTCTTTTTGTGATCGTCTATTTTCTTATTAGGGGATAGTACGTTGTTTTGAGTGGCTATACTGGCGATTATAACATGAGATTTGGGTTTGCACTATCGGTCTAGAGTTTAAACCAAATGTCATGTTCTAATCGCCAGTATAGACACGAAAAACAACGTACTGTCCCCATTATAACACACCTTAACAAATAAACTACGCTAATATGTTTAGAAACATTGTATTTCCTTGTACAAAAGTACGTAGTAAAATACTTTGTGACCTGAACTGGCGACGTGTCATTCTGCAGCGGACTGACCAATCGAAAAGAAGCTTTCAAAAGTCGGTCCAAAGTTTCCGCCCATACTGCCGAGAGCTCGATCTGTCTGTTGACGAGGGGGAATATTTGGATTGTTCGTGAACGTCCTGTTACCAAAGTTTTACGACACATTTGGATTAATATTGACCAAGTTCTTACATTTCCATGTCTGTATGCATACCAATCTGTGCTTATCTTCAAAATCGATGATTATTTGTATAGATTTGTGAAGAGTTTTGTGCAAATGCATACGACACATGTAAAATGTTTCGTTTGATTTCGGATCTAAATAGTTGCCTTCACACGGATGGAATGAACGTTTCAGTAATAAATGGAGGTAAGAACAAGGGATGTGTACTTTTGAATTCATTCAACAAATGCATTTCTTCGGTCGTTTCTGTTCTGTTGCCAACTAGCCTTATCGGCGGGATTTCGCCAATAAGAGGCAAACTTGACGCCGTATTGTTTTGGTTAGAAACGGGGCGTGACTTAAGTGCGATGGGAGGAGCTTAACACGATTGATCATGATTCTATCGCAGATTAGAACATGGTCCGTATCCAATCAAATCACGCGTTGCAAACGAATCGTGTTAGAATGTTGTTTGATCCTAGATGATTTAGATTGTCGATAGGCCGTAAAACATTACAAAACAAAAACGAATACATTATTAAAAGTAACGGAAAGCCATAGAATGAAGGATTGGTTTATAGGGTTTAACATCATATCAACAGCTAAGGTCATTTAGGAACTTGTCTATTCTGTTCATGTGCTGGAGGCAGTGTATATTGGTAAAATTCAAGATAGCATGTATATTCACGTTTAAACATTAAACATGATCATCTTTGAATTGCATTTTATAGTCGTGTATCGAAGGAAACATGTTATCTATTACTATCTTGATTTATGTGTTAATATAAATGCAAATATAATACCAGCGCGCCATTAATGTGGTTATAGGGGTCATTAACATGTATATATTCATAACGTGAAGGAACGCGCGTCTCATTGCATAAGCGGTTACTCCTTCCAACAGCCAAAACCGTATAAAGACGGGTGTCTGGATCACGCCACCGAAAAACTTTGTTTCATTTTGTTTATGTGAAAGAATGAACGGTTTATTTTTATTGTCAAAGCTGTATTAACTTCTCATACTTATTTAAAACATAGCTGTGATGTCATCCATTGTGTTTTTTGTATTATAACCAGTAGGGTGTTGAGGTATCACCTATGGCTGTACAATAAGTTACCTGTAGCTGTGTAATAAGTTGACATGACCATCTTATAAGTGACAACTTATCATAAGGCTACAGGTTATGTATTGGCCAGTTGTGACATTACATTCTAGAGAAGCGATAGGCGGGGCTAAATTGGAGTAACTCATCCATATATGTAAAACAAAAATAACAAACACATGGATTTGTTTAGTATGATATTAAATCAATAAATGGAATACCAGTGGTGTACTATCCTTAGAATCAAACACATTCAAAATCAACAGCTAGAATCCCCGGCGGTGTATATATCCGTGGAATTCAACACATTTAAAATGCAATACATAGAGTACTGTAACAACACATTCAAAATTCAACAGCTAGAGCACTGTTCCATGGAATTCAACACAATGAAATTGCGACAGCTACCCCGTGGAATTCCAACATTTTCTAAATTTAACTGAAACCTAACAACTCATAAGCCTATCCTTTGAATTCAACACAATCAAAATTACAACTACGGTACCGTACCCGCGGTGTATATATTCGTGGAATTCAATGAAATGATGATATCAGCAACCAGTTATTGTGGTTCAATGTCCCATTAACATGTAAACATTCATATACTAATTAACGTGCGTCGCGTTACTAACTGTGTTAGTGCTCGCAACATTTAAGTTTATGTTTAGACGAGTGCACCGGTGTCACCGCGGTAAGAAACTTTGTTTGTTGGTGGGTTAACGTCCTCACAACAGCTCGCGTCCTATAATGACGGGGGCCTAGGGAGACAACATCGAAAACAAAGATTAGAAAAACGAGGGGAAAAATGATATAGTCACCAAGTGTTACAATAGGGTTAGTAGGTCAGCTTTGGTTTCTTCGGTGCTGCAAAAGTTCCCTTAGTAGACGACAAAGAAGAAAACCCTCAATTGTATAGGGGTTTACAATAGGGTTAGTAGGTCAGTTTTGGTTTCTTCGGTGCGCCAAAAGCAAAAGTTCCCTTAGTAGACGACAAAGAAGAAAACCCTCAATTGTATAGGGGCCAAATTTTAGTCGCAATATACAAGCAACAGGCTATTTCCTCACCACACAAGCCCATTGTCATACTACAACTAGATGTAAAGTTTTTCGATTTATCTTGGTACACTTATATGTGTTGAGCGGTAGATCTAGACAAATGTTTAGCCCCTATCCCATACTTATATACCTAAAATGTACCTTTCACCGTGCAAAAATCTTTATTGATGACTTGTATGGCAAGGAGAGGTACCACGTAGTCGGAGGCTGCTCCCTGAAAAAGCGGCAACCTGCAATAGAGGCACTCATTAGATAGCCATATCATAACTAGTTACATGAGAAAACACGAATAGCTTAACACGGGGTTGATCATCATCAGAACATTCTTTACGGTTCATAGTAATGTTATTATTATCGGATTCTTAACGATACATCAACACAAAAGAGGTCATTACTTGCGAAATAGTGTAGATACAAACATGTTAAATGAAATGACATCAAACAACGGAACGAATACAGTTGCAGACAAACGTCAACTTGAAAAGCAAAAGTGGCTATGGTTAGTTATATCTTCTTGAACATACCAAGGTGTTCACGTAGATTAGGATTGTAGACATTCATCGTCTCGAATAGAGATTAGTGATCTGTTATTATAAAAAGGTCAATGTAATCTAATAACAAATGTTTAAAAAAAGGTTTACACTATGCATTGAGGGTGATCTGCGCTTTTCAATAAATAAGAATGGGTAATGTATGAATGACCCATTCGGGAATGGACAAGGACAACCCAGTTTTCGCAGTTTTCTCTGTATCTGGGATACGATTTGCTAATTTTGTATCGTATGCGTGGTATATATATAGTTCAAGCAAAAATTGGGGTGGCGGAGTGAAGTAGGTCACTATGACCTCACTGTGACCTATATGCTTCCTGACGTAAGTGTACGGTTTGTGTATAGAAGTTCTTACCGGTCACCATTGGGGTCTATGGATTGCCTTGCAATACTTTGTCTTGTTGATAGATATGTCTATGCACAGCAGATCCTTTTTCTTTCATTTTTGTCTTGAGAAAATTTTGCCCTTAATGAATCAGGCAATATATTGACAAGGGTGTTAAAATAATAGTAAACAAGTAACAACAAAAAGGCCTACATGGAATATCTGATAGCTTTCTTAATTAAAATACAATTTCTTTAAACAACCATTAATTTCATTTTCATGGAAGAATATTCCGCGCACATATGTCCTAAGGAGGGATTCTGTTCGTTTTGTTACCCTAAAGCCAGAGACTTATATACTACTTTATATGTCTCTGCCTAAAGTTCTTAGCTGGGGCGCCACAGGCGTCCGAGATCTACACTATCATCACAAAGGTTACTGAACCATGTGCGCTCGCTATTTGCTAATTTAAGGTTTTACAGAGCGTAATTGTTACGGTCCATCAACACAGAAAAGTCACCGAAGCCAACAAATTGTCAAAAACGTGTTAATAGCATCAAACAACATCACAGAACTACTTGCGTACCCAGTAACACAAGAGGAAATGACCCCTTGCCACTGGCAATGGCATACCCCGTTTAACGAGAGAAACATCGATTTCCTTCCACAAGGGAACGACTATGACAGGGTACTTATAATATTAATAATATGTTTATGGGAGCAGACATACACAGAAGTAAATAAACCTTGACCTGTAGTGTGACAGTCAACGAACCATGTACGCCATTCATTATAACCATACTCAATGTGTCCATTAACACAGCATGTGCACGTATCTAGAAACAACACATACCTCGCCCCGAGTGTAACCATCAACAAAGTAGTGACGCCATTCATTAGCAATGTAGAGCTGAGGAGGTCTGTCTTGATGTCCGAGAACTCCGATGCACATGCGACGTCCGCTACGAATGACGATACGGCTAAAGACCCCGAGAGAGCCACCAGCACTTGCTACAAACAATAATAATCAATTATAGACTTTTGTTGAAAGTTATGCGGATACATGGACCCAATAAAGAAATACCAAAGGAAACGACGTCGAGGACAGTGTCTTTTTCTCTCATTTTTATCAAAAAACATATTAACCGAAATAAGAGGCTATGACTTAAGTTCGGTAAGAAACTAAGGTGTCTCATTATTAACAAGATTGAACAGAAGTCGTCAGGGTAAAGCAGTGCCTTAATTGCTTTGCAATACCTCATTTTTGGCCTTGATCCGTCCCAGAATTTAAGCATAACTAAGGACCATGGGGAACCCTCATATGAACTTGGAGAAATATCCTTCCTGTACTTTCTGTGAAATAGCACTAACAATCTTAAACTCTAAAATTTCATGATGGCAGCTTGTCCGCACTCTTTAAATATCAAAATATAAGCCACACTCGTGAAATATAATCCACTGTGGTCAAACGGCACTGTAAAGTTTCGGGAAATAGAGATCACCGAAGCGAGAGCTAAATAAATCACGTTGTCGGACACCGCCAGTCGAGTTAAATAAATCACGTTGTCGGACACCGCCAGTCGAGTTAAATAAATCACGTGGTCGGACACCGCCAGTCGAGTTAAATAAATCACGTTGTCGGACACCGCCAGTCGAGTTAAATAAATCACGTTGTCGGACACCGCCAGTCGAGTTAAATAAATCACGTGGTCGGACACCGCCAGTCGAGTTAAATAAATCACGTTGTCGGACACCGCCAGTCGAGTTAAATAAATCACGTTGTCGGACACCGCCAGTCGAGTTAAATAAATCACGTGGTCGGACACCGCCAGTCGAGTTAAATAAATCACGTTGTCGGACACCGCCAGTCGAGTTAAATAAATCACGTTGTCGGACACCGCCAGTCGAGTTATATTTGGATTAATTCAATCACTACCCATGTTGTATGAGTAGTTAAAACCGATAAAATGTCATATATATTGATAATCATTTTTTAATCTTACATATTCGATCATTAATTTCGAGCGCCGACATCCGAGTCGTTCTAATTTCTACAATTTTAATAATAAATATTATTTATTTTTATTGAATTCAGAGACAATGATGAATAAAGAGTGTATGAGGAGACAATCAAAGCAATTTGCTGGAACGTTGATGTCTGAAGTTTGAACAACCGGGGCTCTTAATCCACGAATTATGTATGGTTACGTGCTTGTTATGATAAAATTGATTGTATTATTACTAGTCGATTACCTGCGATTTCCTTGTATGATTATTACATGACAATAAGTCGCTTTCGATTGCAGAGGTTTAGCAACCTTACGTGTACGTGTGAGCTACATGTACTACTGTTGTTTTATTACATAAAAGACCGTCCACGTGAACGTGTAGTGTAGCATGTATAGCTCTGACTTTTCGAAATTTCTACCATAATATGAAAAGGCAAAGCCTAAAATGAGCGTTGCTTTTGTTGATCTCTGATATTTACTTATTCAGATTGAGATAATACTGCTTTCAGAATGAGATAAGAACACCAGCTCAATAAGATTTTAAGACCGACATCAGTAAGCCACATTTTTATTAATCCGTTCTGGGAAATAAGGCAGTACGTCCGTTTTATGAAGAATTATACAACTTTTCCTATCGGAAAATCGGATCGTGGAACACGCACCGCCAAAGGGTAAGTTCGGACAGACATTCGGGTTGGTTAAGACCCCGTTGGAATCGGCTTATTTAGGTCGTCATATTTTACGACTTTTTATGTGTTGCATCGGTCGAACTTCCCCCGGTAACATGGACCGAACCTGTCCGGGCCCGAATTGATATTTCAATAACTTCCTATAGTACAACAATCTGATAGTAAGTGTTTGGCTTGGCTTTTATGTATAGCATTTGAAGCTGTCAGAGTGTTACACGTTTGACCGTCAAAAACGTAGCAATTCTGTTTACAGAGAGTTCGCATAACTATAAAGATGATGTGATTTTCGATCTAACCTCTCAGTCCCTGCAGGTAGGGCGTAATAATTGTACCTGCTGTCCCCATTGAATGATCGTAAGAGGCGACTCAATTAGGGATATTATCTTTTCTCTTCTTTCTGAACAACTTTCTTCTTCCTAATGTCTCCCTTGACAATGCCTCACTTTTGGCCTTTAGTTGAGCGCTCGCCCCTGTGAGGAAGACTTTGGGTTCTGTCCTCTTGCCGAGACATACAAGAGTCTGTAGAAATGGTAGTTTCTACATTTTTCGACATGTATATTTCGATTTCTTGCTAGGCTGGAACACTATGTAAATCAATACTTAATCCATGGCACCCACAATTCGTATTTGTATGGGGCTTGTTGAACCTTAACGCTCAGCAATTTAGGAGTGGGACGACTGGTTCGCCCGTTGTCAGTATAATATGACCGGGTGGCGTGTCCTGCTGTGTGTCTTCGGCAGTATGTTTTAGTGAGATAGCACCTGAAAGTCGGCATCAGTTCTGCGCTATAACAAGGAGACAAACACGAACATATCGCAGACTCCCAAAATACACACACATACACTACACGCATGCATCTTGCACACAGGGGAGGCCGACCTTAAATGATCATGTATGTTGACAGGACGTTAAACAATACTAAACGAAACCAATTTCTAACCTCTCAAAAGTAACTTTCTCTTGTTTAGTTATTTTACATTAAAGTTTTCCTCGCTATTTTTTCTTGGGAATGCCCAGCCAACTTAACTGCTAAGATCCTTAAACTTTATAAATATAAACTCAAAAACAAAAAAATAGGAGGGGTGGCCAAACTTGCCCCGGTCTCCCGTAGGTAGATTATTTGTATCATGGACGATTGGTAAAAATGTATTCACAAAATAATTTTTGCATCAGTGACGCCATTTTCTTCCAGTCAAAACTAAAGTCGATATTTTTACTTGTGCGTAACGTATATGGTGGATCGGGTAGCGCAGCTCCGGATTTCTCTCTCATTAAGAAATAAAATCCTATGCGTGCTTCTGTCAGGGCACAAAAAATAATTGAGATAAGTTCGGAAAAAATGGGAGGGGGCCTAGTAAGTTGTAAAAGTTGTGCCCAATCCCTTTGACTATTCAGTGTCAATAAAATATGTTTGAAATGAACTATTTCGATCATATTCTCAACAAATGGAAATCAAACGTCGATGAAATTTTAGATGATGAAAACATAAATGTACACGTATAACTATTGTTTAAATGCCGGTTCTTATGGAAGATATCTCCCGTTAGAAATATCAACAGAACCTGGTTGATGACAAAAAGGATCCTAAGAAAATCTTCGCATTTTTACTTGCTGTGCCCGTGGTAAAAACAGAAATTAAAACAGTCCTAAAGCATCGACAAAGAGATAAATGCAACGGACATCAGTTCCAAGATTTTCCAGTTATTTTTTTTTATCCTACCGGAAATAACAGATGAAGGCCGATGGAGTATGACATTGACGTGTTTGTGACGTCATTGTATGATAAGCTCTGAACATAGTTCCATGCATGTTAGTATCACATTTTATATGATTGACTTATTTCACTCGTGTATATTAGATGTGTAACAGGGGAAAGAGAAATGCAACGGCCACACAGGGGTTAGAACTCGGAACCCTCCGAACTATAGACGGACGCTCTAAACAATTGAGCTACCTGGTCGCCGACGATCGACCCAGTCCAGTTCCGCTACATTCCTCCCTCCTTCAACAAAGCCTTTGACCCCGGAGACATACCAGACCCTATACCACCTTCCATGGTGTCAAGACAAATGTGTCTGTATTGGTAATATGAATGAGGTGTGTGTGCGCGTTCAAAACCTTATATTTAATATGTGTGTGCGTTTCCAGAACTTGTATATGTGTATGTAATATACGGTATATGTAGCGGCCGTACCGCATTGGTGGTGTGCTACCTTCAGAAAGGGAGTCAAGAGTTACCTCCCTTTTACAGTCAGAAGTGGGCTATAGCCATTGCGTTGAACCCGTCCAAGGAACCGTGCGTTATGTGTGATACGTATACCCGTTATTGACTGTATGTGTTTTACGTATACAATACGCGACGCATTGGACCCCCGTGGTTCGTTGTGACATTTGTAGGCGAAGTTGTAATTTGCGCCACACACACCCGTCCTGTATTGTTATGTTAATGATGTACTGATTATGTTGTTGATTATATAGACTTGTTATTAATCAACGTGAACGCCTCTGTGATTTCTCCACAAATTTAGCGAAAGCACTGCTACCGAAGAAAAGATCCCGAAAACAAATAAATAATAATTTGGCAATTGACACCTGGGTATAAGAAGAAAGAGGAAATGTAACGGCCAGACCGAGGTTCGAACCTGGAACCCTCCGAATTAAATTACTCTGTACACCTTAGTTTAGGTCCAAATATGGCTGTTACAGATTGGCATGTCCCTGTTGGGTTGATATTTTTTTATTTGTCTAAACGGGGAGCATAAAGGTGGATCAAGTGTTTGTTCCCTAAAGCTGGAGTTTGGTATAATATATTTACATAAGAGAATATACATAAGACACTTCTGGAACTATAAGAACATTTTTTCGTTTGTTTAACCGTTCTTCCTACGAAACGGTGGTCTTGCATGTAATGTTCAATTATTTCACTAAACTCTGTTAAGCTCTTTTAGCAGTAACTGCACTCGAAATTATCCATCTGTGTGAGAACAAGTGATCCCAGAGGGATCTTGGCGCCCACCATTGTACCATCTTCATTAGTTCTTTGTCAGTTCGATCTTTTCTCTTCTTTTCTCTAATCTGTTTGATCGAGTCATGTTAACAGTCAATTCACCTTGAGGTAGCTTTTGATCTAAACTTAATACTGTTGTGTATAAAAGCTGTGATATTCAATAATCTGTCTCGCTTCGGCGATCGCTATTTCCGGACCAATACAGTGCCGTTTGACCAGTGTATTCTGAAGACACTGTTAAATCTCTATTGCTTTTTCTCAGAAAGTACTTGAGGGAGCTGTCTCGAATTTCATATGCAGTTTTACTTTTGAGACTGATCGGAAAAAGAGCAATGACCGATTAGCTTTCATTTTCGATTTTGACAGTGGAAGATTGTAATATATATTTTTCTGAAAGTACTGGGGGGATCTCTATAAAATTTCATATGCAAGTTCCTTTTGTCCGTTACTGTGCACGTTTACTTTTGGGACTGATCTTAAAAACAAAATGGCTGACTTGCGGCCATCTTGGATTTTTACTTATTTCAGTATTTGTTTCCGCTGTTACTGAGTAAGTACTGGAGAGAACTGTCTCAAACTTCAAATATAGGTTCCAATTGGTCACTTGTTGTGCATGTTAACTTTTGGGTTCGGAAAATAAAATGCCGATAGATCCTTCTAGATAAGTTCTAGAAGAATCGTTCTATACATGTTCCCCTTGTTCCCTTTATCAAAAATGCCAATGACCCTTATAGAAACCATCCCTAATTTAAAACTGCTTCTCATTAGGAAGGACAAAGTAAGGTAAAGCTAATCTTTTGTAGATCTCATAAAGATAATTTCATTTTCGGTGCCAAGATCCTTCTAGGATCTCCGGTATTGATTTTTTTTTTATTATTTGTTCAGGCCATTTCCGATGTAGAATTGTTTTCATAACCTCATCTATCGGAAGGTTTAAAATTAAGAGTAGGGTAGTGTAATAGCTTCCGGTTGTTTTAGAACAACGAGAAGTAATGTAAGGGCGTAGAAAAGCAAATTGTTTAACACTATCTTTCATAATTGTGTTCCTAACGTCACGCAACACGATTGGTACAATTTTGACAGTTTTTTAGTGATATTTAAAAATTCAGATCTAATATCTGGAATGATTTTGGATTCTTGACAAAGATTTCCCTTGGTGGGTCATTTTCAGATTCCTTTTTTATTCTAAGTCATTTGTTTTCATAACTAGAACGCTTCACTAAACTATTCAGTGGAAATGATGATAACTATCTGTTTTGTTATACTTTCAGAGAAAAATGCTCAAATTCAATTTTTAAGTACTGTTCATACCATTTTCTGACTGTGTACCAATTTGCGTAGCGTACCAATTATGGTAGCGTGACGTTACCTTCTTCTTATGCAATTTTCAAAGAAGCACCGTTAAAGTTAATATAACTCTTCTTTATAAACCACATTATATCTTTTCCAAATTAAACATTTCGTACACTTTTGAAAAATTTAGGGAAGGTTTGTAAGAAATTTATTTTAAAACAATTTAAATATTAGAATGTAGTTTACATAGGAGAGTAAAAACCACAAAAAAAAAAAGACAACTTTACAAACCAAATAGACACGATGAATTTGCTATGGCTGTTTATCTTAACGGTTTGTTTGGATTAAATGTAAACATGAAACTTACCTGAAATGCAAAGAAAAATGTCATATGGATCGGTGGTCGGTCAGAAACATTATACAGAAGTGGTTCTGCGACGTCCGTAAATTCTACGCCTGGTGCATCAGAGGAGATGTCGAGTGCATTGCTGAATACAGGATCAGTAGCATCACGTTCCCTGCAGGGTTTTACATCGGCCATAGCGCTAGGAATTAGCTGTGTGACTGTAAGTACGCTACAAAATGAACATATGAATGAAACACCCTTAGCCGTTGGAAAACCGACACTTTAATATAATGGATTGAATCATCCAAGCGATAATTTTATATAGGCGCGTCATTGTACTCTTGTTTTGAAAGATCCCTGCAGTGGTAGATTCGGGTCAAGTACGGGTCAAGTACGGGTCAAGACACAATCGCAATCAGGTGGATGAACACGAATAGAATGTAAGTAGAGATAAAGAGAGAAAAAGCACACAAAAATAGTTGCTTTTTGTGGAACACAGTATGGATTTAATTTAGGATCGTTTTTAAAGTGAAGTATATTATTTATCATAGTAGGGTATTATATTTTTAACTTTTATACATAAAAATAAATATATCATACCTGAGTGTTAATAATAAGGCTAACAATATGCCCCCCCCCCCCCCCCCCCCGAGTGAAAAGTGAAAACCTCAGTGAAGCATGGTGAACTAATACATCAAATATTCTCTTTACATAGATGTTGAAAACTTCAGTGCAGGTAGGTGACATGTACACAGGTATGCATATTCAAACAACACTTAAATGTGTTTTAATTCTAGATCCGGGTACACATGACCATGCTTTAAGATTACATTACCTTCTCATTCCTAATAATTCAGCGTCTATTTTTACTAACATTTCTGTCATTTTAATGCCTGTCCGTGTTTTGCTCATTCATCATTACATGTGAATCTGTCTGTCTTCTTACATTCGGCAAATAGGTCTCTCAACCTTATATTTGGACATATTTTTCTAAATATCATAATCACCCCTGAAGGTCGGGGATCGCGAATAAACCTGCTGTTACCAACGACATGCATCGTATGAGGCGTATAATGTGGGAACCCCCTGCATACTAGGAAACATGCCAAAGTCCTGAAAATGGTAGTTGTTCGCTTCCTAACGTTCAGCATTGAAGGTAATTGCAACAACTGGTTCATCCGTTGTCAGTATAATGTGTCCGGGCGGAATGCTGTGCTGAGTGCCTTCGGCATGGTGTTTCAGTGAGATAGCACTCTAAAGTCGGCAAGTACTCCAGCACACATTCAAACTTGTACGCTTTCACAACACACATGGAGGCACGTCCTTATATTACCTTAGCTGTTAATGGGACGTTAAACAAAATTAAACCATACCTTAATATTTTCGTCGGTTTTTGATAAATTATTGTGTCTTTCGAGGTTAAATTTTGTCGTCTCTGACACAAAATGACATTTTTGTGTGTGTCGGGTTTAAAACTTAAGCATAAAAGTTACTTGTCGGAGCGAGTAATGTCATATCATCACCTTCTTTCCGGACAACTTCTATTCATGATAAAACGATTTCGCTACGAGGAGTACACATAATTGTGTCAGTATACCTTTGTTGGTCGACAAACACCATTCCAAATAACGTATGTTAAGATTATATGGCCTTAACGGCTCAGGGACAAAAAGGCTAATCAATTTTGTATAAATGGAGGGTATGCCCCCCTAGGCCAGAGAGATGGGGCCAAATAGGGGTACGGAGGTAATTTTCAAAATCCTCCTCTAAACAAATGGAGAGATTTAACGATTTGTTCAAGAACGTTTTTTGGCCAAGTTGTTTCAATTTTGTTATAAAAAAAACCCGGTATACCCTATTGAGAGTAGAGGGACGGGGCCCGTTAAGGGAAATAGAGGTTAATCTTCTAAAACCCTTTTCTCCTTTACCACCTGAGGGGTTTTAACTTAATTCAGAGCTAAGTTCCAGAGCATCTTAGGGGAAAGAAGACTTTATTTTGTATAAATAGATGGTGCGCCACCCCTCCCAACTGGGAAAATTTAGAAAAATATTTCTCTAACTGTACGAGTGAAGGCGGTCTGGAGCGTCCTTGAGGTTATTGAAGGTTCCTCTAAAATTGCATTGATATTATATTCCAATTACACAATATAATACTTAGAATACTTCTTACTATTGACAGGTATGTCTATATGTAAATATGTTTAAATTATATTGTGTATACAGTTGTGGGAACACACGATGTGCAAACGATTGAAACCTGGACGATCATTGCTTGCGCACATTTGTATGGACGAACGTAATGCTATGACAATCATGGTTGGTGTTAATTGAGAAATGGCTTAATAATAAATTCGGCCTCGTGTTAAAATAAATTAACTTGAATTTTAAGCATATTTCCATATTTTAGCTACATATATCATTGATCTTTCTTTCTATATTTTCTTCATTTAGAAATGGTGTTTTCGGTGTTTTTAAGCGGCCCAAAATCGACACATGTAAAATAGGACATACACCTATTGACACGGTCACGTAGACAGGTAAACCTAGCCACTTTGTACCTGTACCTGGACCACAGGGGCATGCAACTACTATTAATATTGATCTTGTTTTAGGCTTTCATTCGCTGGATATAACGTTCCCAGGGGCTGAAAGCCTAAAACAAGATCAATATTAATAGTAGCTGCGTGCCCCTGTGCCTGGACCGTTGTCTTACACACCCGGGGCACTTACATAACTCGCCAAGGTGTGAAAATCCAGGTGAAGGGGTGCTAATAACAAATACATAACTTCCAGTTGCATGTGCTTTCATAACGGTCTTACGGTATTACTCTCGTTATAAGGCACAGGTTGGGTAAAACTCCGGTTAGTCATACAAATGTTGTTTACCTGGTCTGTCACTTCGAAGCTAAACCTGTTCTTGATAGTCTAACGGTCACTGTAATGTTGTATAACACACATTGTAAAATTGAACATGGACGCATTCAGTGATGGAAAGGTAATTGACTATCAAATGCCATTTATTAGTAGTATATTTATGTATGTAAATACCATTTTGTTTATATTAATGTGCAAGTCGTCATATTCATACTTTAGACATTCTTTTAATTATGATAACAACATGTTCTAAACAGCGAGGGCGTCTACGTCTGGCCACGGGGCTTCGTTGTAGGTGTCTAGGGTACAAATGTGCTATGCCGGTGTGGGTCACAACACACATACGCGCGTATGTTTATGTGTGCTGGGACCCATATTGGTGGTTTGGTTTGGTTTGGTTTAGTATTGTTAAACGTCCTATCAACAGCTATGGTCATTTAAGGACGGCCTCCCCTGTGTGCAAGATGCATGCGTGCAGTTAATGCGTGTGTGTTTTGGGAGGCTGCGATGATATGTTCGTGTTTGTCTCATTGTGATAGCGCAGAACTGATGCCCAGTTTATAGTTCTATCTCACAGAGACATACTGCCGAAGACACCCAGCAGGACACCCCAACCGGTCACATTATACTGACAACAGGCGAACCAGTCGTCCCACTCCTAAATTTCTGAGCGTTAAGCAGGAGTAGAAACTACCATTTGTACAGACTCTGGTATGTCTCGGCCAGGGGACAGAACCCAAAGCCTTCCTCAGAGGGGCGAACGCTCATTGAAGGCCAAAAGTGAGGCATTGTCAAGGGAGACATTAGGAAGAAGAGAAAAGATATGATCTCAACTTTGGTCGCCTCTAACGATAATGCAATGGGGGCAGCAGGTACAATGCTTACGCCCTACCTGCAGGGACCCCATATTAGTATGGCATATTTGTGTCTCGGTCATTTGTAGCGAGCCCCTGTGGTCTGACCCATAGTTGTGGGACGAATCAACGTACTGCCCACCTGTGCCATGCTATTAATAGACATCTCCCATTTTGCCTGACACGGACCACGGACACCGACACGGACTTCGACGTTTAGGGGATGTCTCGAAATATAAACTAAACAAATCTTGATTATAATTACGTATGTTCATATACGTTGCAAACATGGTGTACATGCATGATAGCACAGAGACTTCGCACAAATACTCAATCTATATATGCGTGTGTGTCAGTATAATGTGACCGGGTGGGGCGTCCTGCTGGGTGTCTTCTGCAGTATGTTCCAGTGAGGTAGCACTATAAAGTCGGCATCAGTTCCGCGCTATCACAAGGAGACAAACACGAACATATCGCAGCCTCCCAAAATACACACACATACACTACACGCATGCATCTTGCACACAGGGGAGGCCGTCCTTAAATCACCTTAGCTGTTAATAGGACGTTAAACAAAATCAATCAAACAAACAAACAAACAAACAAAGCGTGTGTGATATATGTAATACATGTATATGGACCGTGGATTCAGTATCTCTCACAAGCCCCTATGCATGAGAGAGAGAGATGGCCGTACTCAAGAAGATGGCGTTATCCAATTTGACATTGGACATAGACTGGGGTTAATGGGACTACCGGTTTTAACACTTGGTATAGGCATCGAGTACATTTTTTGAAAAACTACACAACACACATTTGATTTCATTGCTGGCAAATTTATAATTTATTCAGAATCGGTGTCTGTGTCTGAAACACCAAACACCTTCAAAAGTTTAGGGATTGTTTTGGTTATAAATTTATTATATGCTTTCTGGTTTTTTAGTAATAATTCCGACAACGATTCTTTGTCTTGTCCGCCAGTTTTTTCTTTGGCCTCTTCGCCACAGCTACAGGCGGTTCTAAATCACCGTCCGAAGACAGCGACATCGCCACCGCGGCTCTCTTGGTTAAATAATGAAATCAGATTAAAACTAAGACAGAAAAATAGGATCCATAGAAAAGCAGAATAACTAATAGTCAATACCACTGGAATAAATATAGAAATATTAGAAATGAAACTATTGAAATCATAAGGAAAACGAAAAAAGATTATCTTGAAAAACTACAGAGATCACTGAATGATAAATCCTTACCCCCATCTAAATGGTGGAAAATAGCTAAGACTGTATCTAATTTTAATAATAAATCAACTAACATTCCTCTTCTTGATCATAACGGTATATCTCTCCAACATCTTATAGATAACGCTAATACACTAAACGATTACTTCGCCTCAATAGCAACATCCTCTCCTAATCCTGACCCACTGCCGCCTACTGTAAATAACTATCCTTTTCAATTAGATAGTATCAATATATCAGAACAAGATGTAATCGAACAACTTAAACTACTAAATAATTATAAACCAGCAGGGTTTGGTTTAGTATTGTTTAACGTCCTATCAACAGTTATGGTCATTTGAGGACGGCCGTCCCTGTGTGCAAGATTCTGTCCCCTGGCCGAGACATACCAGAGTCTGTAAAAATGATACAACAACTTGAAAATGCAAAGTTCAGGACACGGCCCGCTACAACCTTATCAAGAGTCGGCCCAACCTCAACCACCAGGCCTATTGTACAAGAGGCATTATACTTACTAAAAGAGGACCTCTAGCTTGGCGACTCCTCAAGCTCCACATCAAGCAAGAATGAACAGGCAGAAAAACCGAGCGTAGGTCTCGGCTTCAACGCATACCCTATGCCAAGATGAGTTGGAAATGAACAATTGTAAAACATACTTTGTTCTTAAAACGCTTTATTGCACTATCTCACATCACATGATCATGATTCAATTATTATATACATATATGCTGATTTATACAAATGCATGCAGGAGAGAACTGATATAGGCATAGCCTGTAGTTCAATCCCATTCATACACCATCATGAATAAATTGAGGGGAAAGACGGCACAACTTGCATTAAATGAGATTGTGGTCCCTATTAGGGGAAGAGGGGTTCATTATTTTTTTTCTTGGAGTTTAGCCAAATAGGGGGAAACAAGTAACTCTTTTAAAAAACAGTCTCTTTCTGTTTGAATAGAAGGGCTATCACCAAATTTGTTCTAGATCATATTTGGATTAAGGGGATTTAATTTTGTATAAATGGAGTTATGGCCCACTTGGGGTTGACGGGCGAAGGCCTAAAGGGGAAAAAAGAAAACGTTATAAAATATTTCTCCTTCAATACGAATGAAGGGTGTTAACCAATTTTGGATAAGACAACATTTTCGGGGCAACGGGCGGGACCAAATACCGAAAATAGAACAAAAACAAATCAAATTCTCATTCCATACGAATATTTTCTGCAGGTCATGGAACGCGAAAAGAATATGCAGTCACCCACTACATGTTTCGTAAGAGTCGACTATTGTGGGAACCACCTTCAGAATTGGGGATTTGCATTTGTGCCCTCTCCTTCGGGACAGGGAATCCACCAAAACAAATCTGCTGCATAAATTGCAAATAGTTGGAATCTTACTCTAACTCCGAGCTTCGGCATAGTATTTCAGTGAGCTCGCACTATAAAGTCGGTATAAGATCCGCGCTATCACAAAAAGGCAAGTGCATGCACATTCCTTGTCTCATGCACACAGAGACGCGTACTCAATACACATTGAGACACGTCCTTAAATGACCTTAGCATAATATGACATTTAACAACATAAACAAAACAAAATCAATCTATACGAATAGAGGGAATGAAGAAAGCTCTTCCATGTGGGATTTGATTCTATGTAAATAGATATTGTGGCCCACAAGGGGGCAGATAAGTGAGTCCTGTTAGGGGAAATATATGTAAATTAATAAATCCTTAACCTTTTCCCCATTTATGCTAGCAAAATTGTCCCTAGAACAAGACCCACCCATGGCGTCTACCTCCCTGGGTCATAACACTGCAACAAGTTGAGATCCAAACCCCATAACCATATACGAAACTGTAAGCCATGAAAAATACTCTCATACTCTTGGTGTCTTAAGCACGAAAACAGATTTAGTCCATCTTTGCAGCTTGTATTTTTTTTATACTACGCGGTAAAATTCCACGGTTCTAAGCAGGTTATGAATTGAAAATAAAATACAAGATGAGCTATTAAGGTCCCTGGGCCACTTGTTTATATGTAATATTGTGGACAATACGTCAAAACGTTACAATCATAAAATGTACTGCGTTTGTACATAAACAGGGGTAATTTAAATGTGACCAGCATCTAAATGATTTGTGAAGACATGTAAACTTCGACGGATTACTGTGTTAGGCGTGACTATAAATATGAATTGAATTCCCCAGCTCAATTACATAATTTCAATAATAACATTCATTAAACTTTCAACACAGTAGAGTTTTTAGGGCCAGTAAAAGGTAGATAAAACATGTAAAGGAAATAGCATCAAGTAAACAGAGAGATAATAAGACAACCGCTAACTTGTAAAACAAAAGTGTCTATGCTTTGTTGCATTGTTTGAGCATACTAACAGTTTTAAGGGGTACTGTAGGTTAGACATAGTGCGACATGTTCTGTTTCGAAAAGTAATTGGAGATTTGTAATGTTATAAGAAAAGAAACCTGCGGGATCTTGGCGTCCACCATCGTATCACGTTCATTAGTTCTATGTCAGTTCGATTTTTTTTCTCTTATCTGTTTGATCGAGTCATTTAAGCAGTAAATGAATCTTGAGATAACTTTATATCTAAACGTCAAACTGCTGTGTATCAAAGACACCCTTGAAAGTGAGTTTGTCGTTTCACATATTTAGTGCATGTAGTACAAGAAAGAAGTAGAACCGATCGAAGTCTAAGATGACTGCCTGCGGCCATCTTGTTTTTTCCCCATTCAGACTACAAACAATACACAATGATGAAATAAAACATACACAATGATGAACTAAGGGGAACCGCCGTATGAAATTTGAGAAAAATCTGTTTTTTGAGAAATAGCGAAAACAAACTTTAAAAATCCAAGATGACTGGTTGACGGCCATTTGTTTTAGGATCAGTCTCAATATAAAACCTGCACCTCTAGGGACCAAGGGGGACATGCATATCAAATTTTAGAAAGATACCTCCAGTACTTTCTCGCCTCTGATGGACCCGCCCCTTAGCCGCTTGCGGAGGGGTCAGCCTCATTTAGAGTATCGAATCTGATCCCAACCATGGACTTATGATTACCACAAATCTTCATCAAAATTCTGACTGACGTCAAAAAAGAAGTCAAAAAAATATTTTTTCCGAACGATACGAATGTTTACGGAATAGGTTAGCCTTTCAAATTATGTAGACATTAAAGTGTCATGAAAGTTTTGGACTTGTTTGAAAACATTTCTACCCGCTGGGCCACAAATCTGTATAACGGTCGCCGAAGTAATATTCAGATTTTTATAAAAAAAACACTAAAATCATTCCATAATTTAGAAAAACATTTAACCACAATAGTGAATGTGCAGTTAAACTAGAATACTGACAGGTCAGCAAGCCTAAAGGCCCCGCTGTATGCCTGACAGTGTATCTCCCGTATAAGCCACAAGAAAAAGCAAATGTGAGCATTGACTGTTCAGAAAGGACCATGTCCAATACATTTTTGACAGTGTATGCCCTTTCCTATTTTAAAGTAGCGGCAAGGAAGACGTTCGGAATTGTTTGAAGCCATATTGCACATGTAACGTCTTGTATAATTTCAAAAAGTTTGGCCTTCTGTAAGGACCTTATTTGATGTTTTTTGACGGTATATTCCCGGTTTTATTTTAAGCAACGGCGACCTTGACCGTATGAATATTTAAAACCACTATTGCACATTTGCATATAATTACAGTGTGTCCTCATAAGAAATTTCTGAAAGTGTTGCTTTCGGTAAGACCCTTATCCGATATCTTTTTGTTCTTTTGCACATCTGCTTATCTCAGTGTATAACCATGCAAAATTTCAGAAAGTTTGGTCATCTGGATCATTATCTGCGGAAACGAAAGTGCTGACGGACGGACAGACAGGCGGACACGGTGATTACTATTAATATATACAAGGGTCATGATTTAAGGAAGTAGACCGGGATTCGTAGGTAAAACAGGTTTGTTGTTTAAGAAGGCATAGTTAATGAGAAGTTCTTTTTACACAACCAATACAATTTTCTATGTGACGTTTCGATGACTAGTACGATATGTACACTGACACCTTCATCAGACAAATGACCAATGAAGCGTATGCGCACAAAGGTGTAAAATGGGTACGACACATCACGTTTTACTTGTATAGAAAGAAGACGGAACCGTGAAGGTATTGGTCTATAGAAAAAAAAGACTCATACGGACCAATACCTGAACTTCAAATCTCACCATCCTTTACACCAGAAGTTAAGCAGAACAACAGGACAAAACACAAGAGCAGAATCCCATCGCTAGGGCAATGAGAACATGTGCATATCCGGAATGGGTTATAAAACGGGTAAAAAACAGTGTCAAAGTAAGGAGAAGAAAAGGTCAACAAGGATAAGAACAAAACCAAGGGTCAAGTGGTTATCCCGTATATGAAAGGTATATCCGAAACCATCCAGAGGATATATCGCGGTCATGGCATAGCAACAGCCATGAAGCCCCACACGACGCTAGTACACCCTAAGGATAAAACACCGAAAGAAAACGTCGCAGAATGCGTATACAAAATCGGATGCAAAAACTACGACGCGTCGTATATTGGAGAGACTGGAAGGCGATTTGGGGTCCGCCTTGGTGAACAACGGAAAGATACAGAAACCCAAGAAGGTAGGGAATTCACCAGGTCTGAAAGAAAACAGTCGGAGTCCCAGATAAATAAATCGGCAATCACAGACCATGCCACACAGAAATGATTGAATGGGATAACTCCTAAGTTTTGGACAGAGAGAGCAATCTGTTCAGGCGGCAGATAAAGGAAGCCATCTTGATACGCCGCAGTGGGCCAGTTCTAAATCGAGACGAGGGGGCTCAAAGACTCTCGCACATCGATGACCAAGTGTTAACAAAGCGTAGCTGAATTGAGTCATTTCGGTACACATATAACAACTATTGGACATACGTTTCCAGCGAAGCCGAAATCGACATCGATTTTATGGACAACTCGTACACATTTTAAACCTTTGTGTGCATACGCTTAATTGGTCATTTGTCTGATGAAGGTGGCAGTGTACATATCGTACTAGTCATCGAAACGTCACATAGAAAATTTTATTGGTTTTGTAAAAAGAACTTCTCATAATCCATGCTTACCAACCTGAAGAAAATGTTTAGAAAGAAGGCATGGCATTTCAATGGAATAGCACTATAAAGTCGGCATCAGAACCGCGACAACCCCGTCTCCGACATACATACACACATGCAGACACATTCTTGAATGACATAAGCTGTTAATATGACGTTAAACAAAATATCAACCAAACCAAACTAATTCAAACAAATAAACAAATATGACCTTACCAATGGCGATGGCGCGAAATCCCTAAGGATCAGAGACAAGGATTTGGATACAGGGATGGATATGTGATGTAGGGAGATATTTAAATATAATGGATTTGATATATGTAAACAGGAACAAAAGTATAAAAAGGGAGGAGATCCACATACGAGAGTTAGGGAAGTAAAGTCGAGGGATATATACAGGGAGTTATGTATTAGAAAGGTTAAAACAAATGAACAGGGATTAAGGCCTTAATACTTTGCGTATACAAAAGTTGGGAGTATACAGGAGACTGATATATATGTAATATATTTATTAGGGAGGGCTAAAAGGGAGGTTGAGATACATGTAGATCCAGGGATACAAAGGAGTTGGAAATATATAATCACCGATTAAGACAAGAGGTCCAGAGGGCCTGTATCGCTCACCTGAATATGTTTGAAATAATTGGTATGAAGTAAAGATATAGCGCTCAATGGTAGGTGCTGCAAAAGAAGAAGGATTTTAAAGAATAATTTGCTATGTTTCCCCTATTAGGCCCCGCCCCTAAGGCTCCTGGGGGCCAGACCCACGGTTTAAACAAAATTGGTTCCCCTTCACCCAAGGATGCTTCAGGCCCAATATGGAACAAATCCTTTCAATCCTACAGAAGAAGAAGGATTTAAAGAATTTGCTATATTTCCAATATTGGGCCCCGCCCCTCAGCCCCCATAGGGCCAGACCCACCATTTATACAAAATTTGTTCCCCTTCCCCAAGAATGCTTCTGGCCAAACATGGAACAAATCCTATTGGGCCTGGGGGCCAGACCCACGGTTTAAACAAAATTGGTTCCCCTACACCCAAGGATGCTTCAGGCCCAATATGGAACAAATGCTTTCACTCCTACAGAAGAAGGATTTTAAAGAATAATTTGCTATGTTCCCCCTATTAGGCCCCGCCCCTAAGGCTCCTGGGGGGCAGACCCACGGTTTAAACAAAATTGGTTCCCCTTCACCCAAGGATGCTTCAGGCCCAATATGGAACCAATCCTTTCATTCCTACAGAAGAAGAAGGATTTAAAGAATTTGCTATATTTCCCCTAATGGACCCGCCCCTCAGCCCCCAGGGGGGACACATCTACCGTTTATACAAAATTGGTTTCCCATTACCCAAGGATGCTTCTGACCAAACATGGAACAAATCCTTTGATTCCTGCAGAAGGAGAAGGATTTTAAAGAATTTGCTATATGTCCCCTTTTGGGCCCGCCCCTCAGCCCCCAGGGGGGCCACACCCACCATTTATACAAAAATTGAGTCTCCTTTGCCTAAGGATGCTCCAGACCAAATCTTAGTCTAAATCTACTGGACCGTTCAGGACAACTAGCGTTTTAAAAGAAAAGTTGATGGACGACGGACGGACGACAGACCCTGCGCCATGGCATAAGCTCACTTGCCCTTCGGGCAGGTGAACTGAAAATTGAAGAAAAATATCATACATTATACAATTGCTCACCTTTAGTGCACGCTTTTGCACGACGACGACGAATAAAGGATCTATATCATAACACCTATCGGTCGAGTTTTACCTGAGTGATGTCATATTCCCCAATGCCTGGGAAACTTGCTCTATTATGCATGCTGTTGTCCGGTAAATTGCTTTTTTGCAATTATTGTGGATAATAAATCAAAATGCTTACATCATATCAGAAACATGTGTGCATGAAGCGACTTAATATAAATTCATTCAGCATACATATTATGTAGGATAGTAGCTAATCTGTGACGCATTACAAACATAAAGGCATATGAGCCGATCGTGACTTTAAATAAAATTTAACATTCTGAAAGACCAATGAAGAATTATCACTGATAGAACGTTAGAATACAAAGCATTTCGGAATGAAATGTAATAAGTCATTTTTACAGACGTTCGGTTTGGTTTAATTGGGCAAAGCGTTATTTTAACAGCTATGGTAATTTAAGGACGTGTCTCGTTTGTATAATTAATTATCTTATGTGAGCTTTAAACAGTATTTATGTGAATTTGCGCCAAGCCCGCTATCAAGTGGAGGGCTAGTAATTATAGAACATAATGGTAAGGCATCTTTAATACTTGATTACCCCGCCCCCTTTCGATAAGGTGCATCTGCTACCAAATTAATTGAGATACCAAACTAAAATACAAGGCCGAAGGCAATCAACACAGTATTTAATCCGGTCATATTATACAGTTGTTATCGGGGAATAAAAACTACCACATTGAAGAACTTTTTATGCGACATATTTGCATTGAATGCATTTGCACAAGGAGGCTAGAACGCCACACATCGATGCATACATAACACACAGGGAGGCATGTCCTAACATGACCCTAGCCGGTAATGTGGCATTAAGCTTATTCCATCCAACCCGAACGTGTGCATGTATCAGTATTATACGTATAGTATGTTTGTCCCCGTTTCAAAGATTATACACTCTTGTATATGTAGGAAGTCATATACTTGATTGCAACCATAAGATTTTTAAATACGTGCAGTATTACGAAAATGAAAAACACTTAACAATACAGCTCTTTCGTCTTTCTAAAAACCCGTCGATGAGGCTAGGGACCAAAAGTGTGGAAATTTCATTCGGTAATGTCCTCTGTTGAAACAGAGGGAGAATTGCGTAAAACCTCTCATCATATGATTCCTCAACAAGAAAATCCGAACAAATGGTATGCTCCCCCAAAAAATTCACATGGACTGGAGTAATGGTTTTGTGTAAATTATCTTGAAATGAAATTTATTATACCAGGTTCAATTGTTACCTCTGAAATTACTTTAATATGTGAACTAACACCACAGTGATTATGCAACAAACCATATTTTTTCATTCTGCATTTAGATATGTAATTTATACAAAAAGGTATTTGAAGTTGCCATACGGACCCAAAAACAGTATACAACACAATGCTTTCCCATTTTACATATTTGTTTTATAATATTTTAGATCCTGTCTCTAGCACGCATGCACGCTTACACAACAAACATGGAGACATGTCCTTAAATAACCTAGCTGTTAATAGGACGTTAAACAAAATCAAACCAAATCAGCAAGTCAAGTAATGGCCAAAAACGATAAATTTGACCTCTGACCTCAATGTTGCCTTGACATCAGATTTATAGACCCAAACGTGGTATGCAAGACTGCTTTTTTCAGCAAGCCAGAGGTTATCAACCAGAAAATGAAGTTGACCTTTGAGCTTGTGTAATATTACACTGTAGATTGGCCTTGGATGTGTAGACCCAATTGTTGTATGAGGCACATTGCCGCTCAAATCTATAAATATAAAATTGTATTTAGTTATTGCAAGTGAGACACATGTTATGGCCTTGACAAATGCATTTCCTGCATGTATCCCTGAAAAATTCATTTAGCCGTCTTCAATGAGTCATATTGTATGGCCTACTTAGACCCAATACTTGTACGCGACATACCGTCTTGCTATCCTTCGTGTATCCCTATAATTTCATGAGGTCGAGGGCACAAAAGCGACCAAAATATATCTGCTGCAACCATTGCAATATTGTGGATATTATATTTCTCTCTACGTTTTACTATCTTTTATTTCCTAGCTTCTTGCTTGACAACACCTCACTTTAAGCTTTTATGCTGAACTTCGTCAAGGTGAGGAAGGCAATGGGTACTGTCCACAGATGATGAAAATCATCTCGATGCACTGCCTAAGCCTCTCAGGTGAACATTAAACACACCTGTGTCAAGTGCCGACAACAAGAGGCCCAATAACACACTTTTAAACTTGTGTCAAGGTGTGACATTACGGGGATGTCAGCAGGTGGCTAAGGGGGTATTTGATGTGTGTACGTAAATAATGTGTCTTGCAATTTTTGATTTAGCAACAAAGGATCATTTTCAAGGTAAATATGCATACATAAAATGTCTAAGCACGGTCACAGATTGTGTTGCGATATATGCAAAACACATTCAGTACATTACTCGCATTTGAGAGACTTTTACACGCTGATAAATCGAATGATTGAAATGGATATTTTTTTCTGCTAAATTCTTAAATTAGTGTGTATATCATTGTGGAACAAATGAAAGATGTGGTTTTTTTAACCTCCTAAATTTAATCCATTGCATGAAATATAAAAATATGGAAATTCTTCCTCCCCCAAACCTCCCCAAGCTCATTTTTTAGAAACTATTGTACCGGTGCATTTATTTGTCTATTTCGTATATCTCCATAGTGTAAGTCAAGGTTTGGTTTGGTTTTATTTGGTTTAACGTTCTATCAACAGCTAAGGTCATTGTAAATTGATGTGTTGTATGCGCTTACGTTTAACTCAATTTTTAAGTCACCTGACCATTGGCCATGGTGACCTATTGCAATCCGTCTTCGTCCGTTAATATGTTCCGTTTTAGATCTCTCAAAACCTGCTCGGCCAAATTTGATGTAACTTGACACAAGTGATCAGCATGGCATGGGGATTTAGATTTGTTAAATGGGGGGNAGCAAAAATAGAAGAAAAAAATGTAAATTTTAAAGTAATCTTCTCAAGAACCAGAAATTGTTGAAAATTGGTTTGTAGAGGAAATTGGGTACACTGATTGGATTAATTTTGTTTAACGTACTTTTAACAGATAAGGTCATTTAAGGACGTGCCTCCATGCGGGTAGTGTAAGCGTGCTTGCGTGTGTGTATGGAGGAGACAGGGTATGGTGGTGTGTTTGCCTCACCTAGAACATACTAAATTCCTTTAAAATGGTTGTTGTAATTCCCTGCTTGACGTTTAACATTTGGGATTTGGTTTAGTATTGTTTAACGTCCTAGCAACAGCAATGGTCGTTTAAGGACGGCATCCCCTGTGTGCAGGATGCATGCGCGTAGTGTTTGCGTGTGTGTTTTAGGAGGCTGCAATATGTTCGTGTTTGTCTACTTGTGATAGCGCGGAACTGGTGCCGACTTTAAAATGCTACCTCACTGAAACATACTGACGAAGACACCCAGCAGGACACCCGACCCGGTCATTTTATTCCGACAACGGGCGAACCAGTCGTCCCACTCCTAAATTGCTGAGCGTTAAGCAGGAGTAGAAACTCCCATTTTTCAGACTCTGATATGTCTCGGCTAGGGGACAGAACCCAAAGCCTTCCTCACAGGGGCGAACACTCAACTAAAGGCCAAAAGTGAGGCATTGTCAAGGGAGGCATTAGAAAAAAGAAAGTTCTTTAGAAAGAAGAGAAAAGATGAGATCCCAAATTAAGTCGCCTCTTACGATCATTTAATGGGTGCAGCAGGTACAATTGTTACGCCCTACCTGTAGGGACGCACAACTAAACTATGGACCAAGGAGAACCTACATATGATTTGTGAAAACTTCCTCAATTATTTTCTGAGAAATAGCAATAACAAGAATTGTTCCAAGGACGACAGTTGATTTGAATAACCCACCATCTAATGCTGGTGGCCTAAAAAATGAAGTCGTTTAATATTCTAGATTCTATATAAAACATTTAAATAATTTATTTCGTGGATGACAGTATTAATGTATGTAGTAAAAAAAAAAGTTCATTTCCCAGTAAAACAAGGCTTAAAAAAGGTCTTTTCAGCAAAAAGCTTTATTACAAACAAAATGGCGTCAGAACCGTCATGACAGCGTTTTTTTTAATCAAAATAATTTCAATTAACACATTCATGTATACTACAATGTATAAAGAGGTTTGAATCACGCATTGAATATTTAGAGGTTTTTACGCTCCCAAGGATTATCACTATTCAAATAAAATCTAGAACGATATTTTACAACACTATTTTATCGATTATATCAATTAGGCTATAGATAACTAGCATCTTCGAACGTTTGGTTTATAAGAAAACGTGTTTTATATTTACATGGTCTAAACAGTTGTACTAATATGACAAATTTGAGTTTTTATCATATTTGTTTTAGAGAAAAACACCATCATGCATTTTGTTTTGTACTTGCTCTTTCATTTTTAAACACCTTACTTGACAATACCTCTTATTTTGGTCAATTTGGTTTTAGTTTTTTAATGTCTTGACCAAGTAAGACTAAACTTGAAAATTTAAACTTACCGCTCTGTTATTAACATTCTCCTCTAAATGAGTCGGGCACAGACTGGTTAGCTAATTGTTCGGTGTCAGAAGTGACGATCTTCTTTAAATGGGTGGTGGTACCGACAAGTAAGCTAATAGCCTGTGGTTACAGTTATGTTCTCTTCTAAACGGGTGGTGGTACCGACTGGTAAGCTAATAGCCCGGGGTTACAGTAATGTTCTCCTCTAAATAGGTGGTGGTACCGACTGGTAAGCTAATAGCCAGGTGTTACAGTAATGTTCTCCTCTAAATGGGTGGTGGTACCGACTGGTAAGCTAACAGCCCGGTGTTACAGTAATGTTCTCTAAATGGGAGGTGGTACAGACTGGTAAGCTAATAGCCCGGGGTTACAGTAATGTTCTCCTCTAAATAGGTGGTGGTACCGACTGGTAAGCTAATAGCCCGGTGTTACA